ATAATCAGTAGGTTTAGCTTGCATTGATAAATAGTATAAGTATAATATAATATCTGTCTGTGACAAAACCCACAGACAATTATCACCTGATAATTTTATAACAAAAAGCAGAAAACATAATATCAGAATAATTAAAACATGCCTCTGTTTTTGTTTCTTTCTGTGCCATCTTCATTTTTTTCCTCTGAGACAGACCCCAGCTGCTCAAGGTCATCTTCAAGGTCTCCTCTCTTCAGCTTTTCCTCTGGTGAACTTTCCTCCTGAATAAAGGGAGAGGCAGAGGAGCAAGGAGAGACAAGAGTAAAAGTCCTTAGTAAGCACTGCTTGCTGAGAGAAGTTCTTCACCACCATCAATCCTCTGTCGGTGTCTGGATCCCTTGCCTCGTTAGCTAATTGAATAAATGAAAGATTGCTACTCCTTGGGCATTGTGTCCCTTTGGCTTTGAGCTTTTTTTCACAGTGCTTTTGCTTTTCATTTCTGTCCTCCCCTGCCTATTTTCAGGCTTGAATTCGCATAAAAATAACATTATAGTAATGACACAGGAGGTAATGTGTGTCCATGCTGATATATACTGTATGTGTGTGTGTGTGTGTGTGTGTGTGTGTGTGTGTGTGTGTGCACGCACGCGTTTCAAACTACACCTCTAGATGTGCAGATGAAGAGTGGGGAGAGGAGGAAAGAGTGAATGGGGGGGGCATTTATTTTAGAGGAGACTTCAGTCAGACTTTAAGCTTCTACATGCATCTGCTTTTTATCCTCATATAAACCAGTGTTAAAGGTGTTGCCTGTAGAACTTAGTGGGTGGGTCATACACTGAGCAATCAATAAGCAAAAATGAGGAAGAATAATAATACCGTGGGTTCAGGGTCGTGTTGCAGAACCCTCCTAACTTGCAGGTCCTATCTTAACTGTCTGGTAACCACTGTATTACTCCACTGATCAGCTGTTTGAGTCAGACGGAGCTAAGCGTAGGTGCGCATGTGCGTAGGAATATGGTAGTACAGTGGTTGAAAAAATGTAGCTCCAAAGGAAAGTGCCGTTTGACAGAAGATAAATTGGTGAAAATATTCAAAATAAAGTGTACACTTAAACCTATACAGGTTTTTTTTTTTTAAATAAACATACAAAACAAAACATAATGTTACACAACATAATGTAATGTTACAGGACTGGTATATAAATGAGAGGAGATAAAAGGCACAGCACTTGCATTACGAGAGAAACAATACAGAGTGGTCGAATGATGAACTGTCTTGTGTACACAGAAAAAGATCAGTTCTTCCATCGATGTAACGTCCTATTTTTTCCAGAGTCACAACCTCAGAGATCAGAGATTTCCACATGGAGATAAAGTGGGGTTTGTCCCCAACCCACTTCACCATGATGGCTTTCCTCGCCAGCATTAAGAGAGCTTGAACAACTTCCTCATGTCGTTTAAAAGAGTCAGGGACTCCAAGCATACATAGGAGTGAATTTGCTGGCACCCGTTGACCTACCACTGTACTGATGATTGCACATGCTGCCTGCCACCCCATACAGCTGTACGCAGAAGAAGAAAAGCAGTTAATACGACCCATGCAGCTTTTTTTAGCGCACACACACAGCATGTTTGCAGTCTACCCGCACATTTTCAGTGTTTTAGTCTGGGGCTGTTCTAACTTCAGCTTGTGTTTTCTTGAGGTAGTTCATGGTGGCGTATCACACGGTGTCAGTTAAACTTTCCTGCATGTCCTCCCAGTCGTCAGGGTTTGGCTTCACCTTTCTGTCCAGCAGCTCTGCAGTTTATCTGAAAGTTTTCTTGGTCAGTCAGATCTTGTCACAGTTCCCCTTAACTAACATTTCTTAATGACATTTAACGCACAGTGGAAATATCATTCTGGAAGTGCTTTGATACCTCTTTACAGCCTTGCCTGCTTTGTAGGCGTCCGGGAGCTTGATTTTCCGATCCTCACTCAGTTGCTTAGAGGAGCCCCTTAACCTGCCTGACATGTCCTAACAAGTTAATGAAGTGAAGGCCCAGTGACTTAATGAAGCTCTGAGATTTATTAAGAAGAAAGGTGGCCAAGTTTTTGCACATTTCACAATTACTGTTTAATTTTTCCATTCAGTAACAGTGTTTAAACATTTGAAGACATGCTCCTTTTTACTGCAGTGGTTGCTTTTACCCCGTTTCACTTTAAAAATCAACAAAGTATGAATTTTCCCACCGGTACTTTTGCACACGACAGTCTCTATGCGGCCATGTCATCTCCAGGAAAGGTGCGAGTGCACTTTAACTTGCGTGATATTGTAATGCCCTCTGCAGGAGAAACAGGAGAACCTACTCTTCTGTTTTCCCTAACAGTCTGCTTTAAATCTGACTCTAAACCATTTGTATACCTGTTCACATGCTGCATTCGAAAAACATATTTGATTTTTCACAAGTGGTATTTGTGGTTTCTGGTTGCATTTACTCAGTGTTCAGTATTGTCAGAAATGTTTTACTTAATATCATTAACTGTTTTTTTATGTTGCAAATTAGTATAAGTAATGCTAGTTAGAGCAAATTTTAAACCACTGTTATTTTCATTATGCTCTGTAATGTCAACATCACCCTGATGAGTGATCAGACTCAGTCCTTTCCTGCTGTAATTTCAGGCTGACTCCGGCCGTGGAGAAGACATCTTAACCTGAGAAGAGACTTATTAAGACAGATGAGACATCATTTCCTTCAAGGCTTTTACCTTGAGGGAAGAAAATATATTTTCAAAATCACCCATCACTTGAGTTTCTGCCTCTAAGTGGTAAATGTGAGACCTTTATGAGTCTTGGGATGGAAAAGATTTTCTAAACACATGCTGCTTCTGCTTTCAAATGATGTGCTTTATGGGTTTCAGGAAATGCCACTTTTGTGTTGAAGTAACCATGAAGGGTGTGTGTGTGTGTGTGTGTGTGTGTTGTTAAAAGATAACCTTTTTTCCTCGAAACCCCTCTCATGTGCATTAGAGGAGAAGTGTGTGTAGCCTATAAACAGGGTCTGTGTGCGTCAAGGGAACGTGGAGTGTGTGCGACCGTGCTCTGATAGTATGTCACAGTGAATTAGCCTCCGCGTGGCATCCGCCTGGCACACACCGCTGCCTGCCCTCTGCCCACCACCCCACATATGTGCCCAAGATTAGAATTAATAACCAGCGCTGCCAATCATACTTTAATCACAATAACTCTGCATTTAGGGGGCACAGCGAGGTCGCAGGCATCTGGCCCTCAGGGAGGCCAATCTTGAGATGCTAATAGGGCGAGTGTGTGTGTGTGTGTGTGTGTGTGTGTCTCCCTGATGGACTCATTTTCAGCATTGGTGGTGGCAGCTGCTCAGGTGAGCCACAGAGACTGACAGGAGGGGAACAGGATGAAAAAAAAAAGTGTAGGACAACCACCAGCTGCAGGGAAAAACATACAAGATAAGGTAGATTGAGGGAGAGAGTGTGTGTGNTGTGTGTGTGTGTGTGTGTGTGTGTGTGTGTTGTTAAAAGATAACCTTTTTTCCTCGAAACCCCTCTCATGTGCATTAGAGGAGAAGTGTGTGTAGCCTATAAACAGGGTCTGTGTGCGTCAAGGGAACGTGGAGTGTGTGTGCGACCGTGCTCTGATAGTATGTCACAGTGAATTAGCCTCCGCGTGGCATCCGCCTGGCACACACCGCTGCCTGCCCTCTGCCCACCACCCCACATATGTGCCCAAGATTAGAATTAATAACCAGCGCTGCCAATCATACTTTAATCACAATAACTCTGCATTTAGGGGGCACAGCGAGGTCGCAGGCATCTGGCCCTCAGGATGGCCAATCTTGAGATGCTAATAGGGCGAGTGAGTGAGTGTGTGTGTGTGTGTGTCTCCCTGATGGACTCATTTTCAGCATTGGTGGTGGCAGCTGCTCAGGTGAGCCACAGAGACTGACAGGAGGGGAACAGGATGAAAAAAAGTGTAGGACAACCACCAGCTGCAGGGAAAAACATACAAGATAAGGTAGATTGAGAGAGTGTGAGTGTGTGTGTGTGTGTGTGTGTACATGCCTGTGACCTGAAGCAAAGTCTCAATGTGCATCCATCCTTACATTAAAGGCCACAAACAGACTGAACTGAACAGAACATAAAATGCCATCTCTTCATTTTATCCTTATAGACATTTGAGTTAAACTGTGTCATAATTAGTGAAAGAATTTGAGAGTTATGGCCAAAAGCATGTTTTGTAAGGTCACAGTGACCTTTGACATTTGACCACCAAAATCTATACAATTCATCCTTAGGCCAAGTGAATGTTTGTGCCAAACTTTAATTAATTACAGACTGACGGACTGTTGTGCTGGTCCCAATCTGGGAGGCTCTGGCACAAATTTAAACTTGAATTACCTCCCCGTGGTTGTCTGCCTCCACCACTCAGACTAGTTTCAGGTCACATCCTTGTTTTTACAGGAATATGTATCGCGTTCACGAGGATGGGATTGATGGGTTTATGTATGTGCGTACTGACGGATGGACAACCGGAAATCATAATGCCTCCGTCCCTGGCTGTAGCTGGTGCTGAGGCATAGAAGAAAATAAAAACACTTCAACTAATATCCATTTAAGTGATATTTATTATATAAATATATTTATTTGTTAAACCAATTTATTAAATGTATTCTCATTCAACATTACAGATCAATTTTAAAATTTCTGTCATTGTCTATTTCCTGACAAACAGCAATATCCATGACTTCAGTCTTGAATGACTGATCAAGCCACGATGGATAAAATGACTTAAGATATTTATAAGTTACAGTGTATGTATTTTTAGGTACAACACATACTTCTATTCGTTAGCATAAAAACATGACGGGAGACTTCAGGTCAATCCCACCTTGGCTGAGTGCTGAATAAAACAACAAGACATGTTCTGTGGCTTAACTTGGAAGTGGACAGTGGCACATCACACTAACCAATACACAACATCAAGCAGCAGAATCCACCACACGGTTATTTACTGTAGCAATATTCAGCAGAGTGCGAGCCTCCTTGAGTCTCTGTTGCTGGACACTGTGACGAACCCCGTAGCCAAAGTAGATGATCATGCCTGAGCACAGAGATGAGATTTAAAATGACGCCTTTGTTAATCTAGATTCCTCCATCACGCACACGTGATGAGAGCAGAGGGCTGGCAATATAATATTATATTTTTTAACAAATGCCATGAAAACACCAAACTAACAATGAACTGTTAAATGATTCAGAATTGTATCATCTTACAATAATAGTATCATTTTTAAAATGTGGAGTATTTGATCAATATGTATAATTAAAATCAAACAGGTTAGATAGACTACAGGGGATATTTCAGTTTTTCCTTTTTAATAAATTTGCAAAAAGAATTCTAACTCTCTGTTTTCACTTTGTCATTATGAGGTATTGATTGTAGATTGATAAGGAAAACAATGAAGGGGGTCTGAAGGCTTTCTGGATGCAGTGTCTGAAGTTCTGCTGCCCCAAACAATCACTAGAGCACCACATGTGGATTAATCCACTCCTGAAAATAGTCCCTAACAAAGACTGTACATTACTTCCCCCTGTTTAAGTAATGTTTGTAATAAAATACAGTGTCCAGAAATTTAAGGAAATTACTGACAGTTAAAAAAAAACAAAAAAAAAAACAGACTTTGTAGGAGTCAAGGTATTGAAATGCAGACTAATACATTGTTGGTGATGGTCTTTACATGGGAAGAAAATAAGCAAAGTATAAAATGACATCAACATCATACTTTAAAAAGGACTGAAAGTGTACAACACTCCACACCAAGCTGGTTATCAAGAGTAGTTAAAACCTGTATGTATGTATTCTTACCCACGGCCATCCATATAGCGTAGCTGATCCATGTCTCTCCTCCCAGCTGAACCATCAGGTAGGTGTTAATGAAGACACTTAAAACAGGAATCACAGGTAGACAGGGAACCTGAAATAATAATTAAAAAGAATCATTGGTTCTGCACTTTTACAAAAGTAATTAATGCATCTTTTAAATGTTACTGTAATTTAAGTTCCTTGCAGAATTTTGAGAGAGGGTCTTAAAGTTAGTGACAAGCTGAAAGCTACACACCACAGCACTGTCATTCAGTGGGGTTTAACCTGGGTTGACCAGCCTTTAATGGGCACATCACATATGCTCTGCCAACCCTGAGTGTCCTTCAACAGCCCCTTAGTCAGGCCCACTAACTGACCCGCCAAACAACATGTCCCCGCTGGAGCTGTGAAGTTGCAAACCCTCAATCTGCATGAAATATTGTATATAGAGCCGAGTGCCCCCCACCATCACCCCTCCTGTTTACCATGAAAGCAGCTTTAGCGCTGCTCTGTGGCTGTCTCCAGATAACAACAACAGCGAGGACCAGAGTCAGCATGAGGACAGTGGTGAGCAGGACGCTCCACAGCTCTCTCCTGCGGAGGGAATCCACGCCTTCGGACAACAGCACGCTTAAAATGATCACCAGGAACACTGGAACGGAACCACAGACTTCAGGAAAAAACTTTCTTGAAATTCAATGTTTCATTTATAAATCAAAATCAAAAGATAGGCAAAATGTTTTTGTGTGCAAGTATCTCTGGAAAGTAGCACTTTTAGCACATCTGGCCACTCCTGGGAAAACACACATTGTTGATTTTTGCAGTCAACAGAATTAAATATAACAAGCAGACTGAATTGTTAATGCACTTTTGATTCTTGTATTGCTTTTATGTAAATGTAAATGAACTGAAAGGGCTTCTGTGGGTTTTCCTGATTTGGTTTTCTTTCATTTACATTCTTTGTGCCAGGAAGCCAAGCCGATGGCGATCGGCTGATTGCACTTTTGAGGATGTTAGACTCAGTCAGTCAGTCAGTCAGTCAGTCAGTCATGGGCTGGCCCTGCCGCTGTAGTCCAGCCAAAAAAAGAAAAGAAAGGAAAAAAAAAATGCCCAGGGGTGGCAAAACCGTTATACATAAACCACACAAGTGTATTCTCATAAATAGTTTTGAGATTGAGTGGTAACAAGAAATGCCAGTGCGTAAACTTTCCACCATACTGAGTGATTATCAAGGGCAACAAGTCACAGCAGCGCGAAAGGTTAAAAAAGGAAACGGGCGACAGTGAAGGATTACTCACAAATCACGATGATGACTATGTTGACATTTTTAGACGTGCGGTGAGTGGGTCGAGACGGAGGCTTCAACAGTCCCATCACTGTAAACGGCTCTGAGCTGTGGACGACACCGCTGTCTTCTTTGTACCTGGGAGGAAAAACAAAACAACAGCTGAGGTCGAACTTTAACATGACTCCGTTGGCAGAATAGATTGATCCTTTCAGTCTAAAATTTGCTTAAATTTCTGGCTCTCTTTTACTCACCAGATTTGGTTTACATGTCTTTAAACCAAGTGTACGTACCTTAATATGAGAATACACACTGCAACAAGAGTGTAGGCGAAGATGGTCCCAATCGAGCTCAGGTCAACCAGCGCTTTTAGGTCAAATAACAGAACCATGAAAGCTGCAAAAACATTTAAATACATGAATAAACAAGCGTCTGTGGTGAATCTGAACTGAGCCCCCCCCTTGGACTTGCTTTGTCTCAGGGAGGGTGGGGTGATTCTAACATTATGCGTGCTGGTCAGAGATGTCTTATTATTTTAAAGTGGGTCTAAATGAAGAGCTGCTAGTACCATTTCTTTCAAATTTGTCAGCTCATTGTGAAATTTGACTTGATGTAAGAAATCAAAAATGTTTCTGCTAACCTGAAAATATACCAACCAGTATGGGAACCAGTATGAGGACAAATTGGAGACATCAGGAGAGCAACACCCTGTGAAAGCTGAAATGGGCTGTAACATCAGTAAACTCAGCTGGTATTTTATCTTTTCAGCCCACATTTGTTTACATTTGGGTAAACTGGTGACATTAATGTATGCTCAATTACCTACTGGCAGCTCCTGTTTGAAATGTACCCAATATATGTACAGACCACTATCAGTGGATTTAAAATGTGATGATTCACAGGCATCTTCTCTGAGGCATCTCATGGTGAGATTTACAGTGGGGTCAGAGAGTCTGAGACCACTTTCCCATTAAAGACAATAAGACCATTTGCCAATGCAGACCTTTCCATTTGGTGTCCCTTTGATATCCTCCATTGTTCATGTGTGTGTCGCATTGAAGATGACATCGCGATAGCTTCATGCATCATCGCTATAGTAACGACGAAGTAACTGTCTCCGTCTCCTTTTGGACTGAAAAGCTACACTTAGCGCTTAAAGGCTTTGTGAGGTACGCCTACATCAAGACCTTAGGAGGTTTAGATTTAGGATTTACAGAGCCCTTCATTTTAGGAGTTTCTAATTCTGCCAGTTATGAGCCTCTGTAACTTTAGGATGTGAATACAGCCCCTGATCTTCTGAACCCCATCATCAGAGGAAGTTGATATGGCATATTGCCGCCATATTGCCAGATAATGTTTAGATGAGATTATCTGTGTATAGCGCAGCAGCCTCACCGGCCACAGCTCCTGAGGACAGCGTGGCTAAGACAGGACTCTGCCTGGAGCTCATGTAGCGAAGAGGCTTGAAGAGCAGGCCATCTCTGGCCATAGCAAACAGCACTCGAGGCATTGGAAACATCACTCCCAGGAGACTGTGGAAGACACGATCAGTCTAATATATTAAGTTGATTTCAGCTGGTCGTTTCTGTCAAGCAATCAGTGGATTCTAGACATAAAGTTGAATCATTTTACTAGTGATTCTTCATCTTCGCAATGGCTAGGCAATATTCAGCTGTTTGTGATAACAAATAAGACGGCTGTACACATTAAACTACAACTTTCTCAGCCATTTACAACAATTTTACACAAAAAATGCAGATTGTATTTCCTGTAATATCCTCATTCTCTGTCCCCTCTGATCCAACTTTCCTCGCAGGGGTCAAACAGTACTAAAACACTACTCCTCCGCCAGAATCTCCCTGTTTTTGGCCGAACAGTTCATTTTACCCTCTCACAAAGCCCCATCTGTAGGACTACCTTGTTGAGAGTGCGCAGAGAGATCCCACAGCCACAGCGTACTTTGCAGGCTCCCAGCCAACGTATTCAAATGCTACAGGTAGAGGACTGTGAGAGTCCAGCAGGTAGTAGGGCATCATGAGTGTCAGAGCAGCCGACACACCGAAGTAGGCCAAGAAGCAGATTAGCAGGGATGCGGCGATCCCCAGAGGTATGGCCTTCTGGGGGTTCTGCACCTCCTCACCTGAAAGAGCAGGTCAAGAGCATTAGACTTCCTGAACTCCAAGTACGGTTCCAGATAACACCCTGCTTTTAAGTCGTTTAAGAAAACACACTGTACCCTCACTTTAATGAACAGCAGTACCTGTTGTGGCGATGCAGTCAAAGCCGACAAAGGCGTAGAAACATGTTGCTGCTCCTGCCAAAGTCCCATCAAAACCAAAGGGGAAGAAGCCACCAACACCAAAGTCAGCAGTTTCATTTTGTGCTGATGTCAAGTTCCTTTACGAAGAAAAAAAATGAATCAGCTGCTGTCATTCAGAGTGTCAATTCTCATATGTTTCCATTACAGACGTTTTACCTAAAAAGGTTTTCAGTTACACTGTCACAGAATTTTATTTGCTGTGGTGTTGACATATCTGCATTTGAGAATGTATATATATATTATATCATATATAAATAACATGAAAAAATAAACAGCAAATTGTCTCTTCACAAACAATATGTTCATTATTCCAAATAATATAGTTCTGTGGTTGTTTGTTAGTTTGCAGTGCAGAGTAAGGGCCAAATCCTGTCCACGTGTTGCTGAGATGAATGCTACAGTCAGTGATATGATATGATGCAGTTTGTTGTAAGATTCCATGTTACATTCTGTTTGAATATGAGTTGCTGTAATTCAACAGGTTGTGCTGTAAATTATGTTGGCGTTTGAAAACATTGTTCCCTGTGCCCCTTCTATCTTGCACCAGCCGCTCTAAAAAAGGTCTCTGCACGGCCCTGCTGCTCAAGACCAGGTCTTCCGGACCTCAGTCATCTTTCTGAGAAGATTATGAAACATGACAGCAGTGGGAGTCATCTAGTCCATGTGGTAGAAATGGGTAAACTCAACCTGACAGCGCATACAAACAGCAAATTTAGCACAGCAGCAGGTATGTGCTCATATATTTTACCACCTGTATTTACCTGTGTGCAAAATAGTGAAATAGCGCATTGTGTCAAATTGTCTGGTGTTGCATGTGTTCATAACAGTTGTTGCCCGACCACTGTTTCCACCTTTAAGTGCCACTCGAGGCATTTTGCTTTCTTACGTGAATTAGTTGTGCTGACTCTTTAAATATGTAACTGAATGAAGATCATTTGAAAGACGAATTAGCATGAATGTTACTTACTCCATTTGTCGAGTGGCGCTCAGGATAGTCTCCTGACTGATGCGCCAGTTGTTGATGTCTCCTTTAATGAAGCCCGAGATGATGATAAAAAACAAAATGGCTACATTCACTGCAGTAAAAACCGTGTTCAGGACCGCCGACTCCTTCACTCCATATGCAAGTATCACTGAAAATAAAGAAAAAGGTCTAGAACTGTGAACGAAGTTCAGCTTGAAGAATATCTGGTTGTATTATAACTTTCACACAAAGTTAAAAAATATTACCTGCAATTAACATAATGAGCCCGGCAGCAAAGAAGTCTGGGTATGGAGCCAAGCCAGGTGAGTCCATGGGTGTGTGTTCCGTCAGAGTTTTAGCGATAATGTTGTCAATCAGGTCGTCAAAGGTCCCGGTCCAGGCCTTCGCTACACTCGACGTTCCTGAGGAGAACAAAACATACAGAGATTTGGATTCAAAGTGGAAAAATTGTACTAAAGTGAAAGTGCTGTACTGTAAACTAATTTTACTCAGTTAAAATTACTTGCTCTAAAAATTGACTTAGTTTAGTCAGTTGAAATGTTCTCCAAGTAAATGTTACTGCATTACATTTTTTAAAATGGGGAAGGGGAGGATTACATGGCGATAATGTTGTTACAGAACCATTAAATGGACTGTATGTGATTTCTGCCGCTAAGAGACTCCCAATCACAACAATAACAAAAGACGGTATTTGGTGACATTTGCAAAGTAGCACGGGATCATGGGAGTTGTGGTCTGCACCACCATGACCATCATTCTAGTCATATTTCTTGGTTTGGTCTTCTTCAGTGTCGATCACATCGTCACTACTGGAATTATCCACAGAGGTTCTCCTCTTGTCCAGAACCAACAGAGCAGGGGATTAAAACCAGTAGAAACAATCTCAGCTGACACTGGGCAGGAGGCAACCTACACCCACATCTCCAGTCCATCACAGGGCTGAAACATGGAGACAAAGAACCATACCAGTACTCCCGACCAGAGCTAACCACTGCATCACCACGACTTTAGGTACTTTGGTCTGTACTAGATTCAATCTTCAAATGTTAAATGTCAAATATTATAAATAAGGCGGCCACCATCACCACCCACAGCATTTGGGCCAGTGCCATGACCATCCCTGTGGCACAGGACTGGGTCATTCCACATTGGACCATTGATTTACTGAACTGACAAATACTATATATACATTATATATCATATCATTGACAACATTGACATAAATGCATAGTTCATCTTTGGGCCATTGCTGAAATCAGGGGGAAAGCTGGGCACTCATGGAATCTTGTAGTTTTTTTTTAAACAGTGAACTAAAGTCACTCTCACCTGCATCACTTACCAATAACATAGGACAGCAGCAGGTTCCAGCCGGTCACAAATGCCCACACCTCTCCTACAGTCACGTAGCTGTAGAGGTAAGCTGAGCCCGTCTTGGGGACACGGGCTCCAAATTCTGCGTAGCACAGACCTGCAAAGGCCGAAGCCACCGCTGCCACCAGGAAGGAGATGATGATGCTGGGGCCGGCCACTTCCCTGGCCACCTCTCCCGACAGCACATAAACACCGGCTCCCAGCGTGCTCCCGACACCCAGACCCACCAGGTCCAAGGTGGTCAGGCATCGGCAGAAGCTGGAGTCGCCCCCCTCTGGCTCCAGAGGCTTCTTGTGGGTCAGGGTCCGAATGAACCCTAACACTTTGGCGCAAGATAATCTGAAATAAGCAGCAAGGTCATTCCATCACATTAGAACCTGTACACTATATGGACTACACGTTGTAGACCAAAGCTCTAAACAAAGTAATGTGATGCTGACGAGGACAGACATTACCTGCGAGCCATTTCCAAGTCAGTGTGTTGAGACTGCTGTCAACATAGGGAAAACTGAAAGCAGCGCAGGTTCACTGCTGCATGGAAAACCAGCTTCTCCCTGCAGCAGTGGCAGCAGACCGCCCCAGCCCTGCTGCCTGCTGCAGGTGCAATCAATTTAGGCAATCAGTGCAATGAGGTGAGGCCTCCTGACTCACATCAGCTTCTTCTTCCTCTACAGCTCATTGTGTGTTTTCCCCAGTAATTCTGTTGGCATTTAGATGCTTTCCATTGTAGTGAATAAACAGCATTAGACTAAAAAACAAACAACATTCTTCAGAGGTGTATCTGTAGTGAAAACTGTGTGTTAGGCCTGGCCCGATATTTGATAACATTGAATATCACGATACTTCCCACCATATGCAATATTTTTCATAAGATTTACAATATAACATAAAAATATCATAATGAACCCTAGCAATTTAGCAGCATAGCCATTTCAGAACATTAGAACATGTTTGTGTTGGTAATGTTGTTGACCTGATATTTGATAATATTGAATTGAATTAGATTGAATGCCACATGTGAATAAATCTATATTTATGGATTTGGGTTTCAGTGGATCAGACAAGGATTTCCATCAGTTCTGGATCGAGTCACAAACAAAACAGCTGCTCTGTTGTTTCTACATTTATGTGGGTCTGCCAAGGTGAAACTACAATGGTGTGTCACTTTAAATGGAGATTGGACAAGGAATTGTGGGACGGCATTTCTCCTTTCCTTTCCTAAAGGAAGGTCCAGTGTTTCCTCTGCTAAAGGAGATAAGATAGGAAGCACTGAATCTCCTTTCCTCCTCATGTAGAGAAGTGGAGCAGCTGTGATCATGGTGCTGCTCAGAGACTTCAGCTCATTTATCTCAGTTTCAACCTTCATAAGAAAAAAAAAAAGACTTTTTGACCGCAGCCCTGGTGTTGCAGTCCTCATTTTTGGAAATCTTCCCAGCCACAGTCTCTTTGGAGCAACAATTCAAACACTCACTGTCTGTCTCATCATTCACAGACGTACAGTCACACTGAGGATAAACTCCTGCTTTGGTCACCAGATAATGTTTTGCTCTCCACAGTGGTACATCCATGACAGTGTTACAGTGCTGTTTGCACTGCTGGAGAATTTACTGATATATAGTTTGTGTTAAACTGTGTAATAATTCAACTGAATCAGAAAAAAAAAACTGTAGAAATAATAATTTTCCTGCCAAGTAAGAAAGATTCCCCAGACAAAAGACTGTGTATTAAGAACATAGTGAAGTGAAGCTGGCCACAAAAAATATGAAGTCAAAGATGCATTTATTATCAAAAACATAAACAAAGACAAACAGTCACACAGACACTTTCAGGATACACATGGCAGAATATGAATCAACATCATGAGGACGAAAACAAAGATAGAGTGGTACAACAGACAGAGAACAAACAAAAAAACATGAAGTTAAACTTTAGATGATCTTTTCTTCTGGCGCAGAGGAGACTCCACGTTCCACTGCCTGGGATGAGGAGCTCTGAAACACACAACAGACATTTTAACAACACTTTAAAAACCCCAGAAAGTACTGATGTGATTCTGTTTGTTTTTTGTTTTTGCTGCACTCTGTATGATCATCCTGACTTCACTGTCAGTACCTAAATCTTTTACACAGTGCTGTAGGCCTAAACATTTAATCTGTAATCCGGGTGAACCAACTGTTTAAGGATAAGGATCATTGTACTGAATACTTCTCTTAATTGTCAACAAATCCCATATTAACACCCACATAAACAATGTGTTAGCCTCTCTGTGATTTCTGACCTGTCCACCCTGTCTGTGGCTCTCAGCCTGAAGACAACTGGTTTCTACTGAAGACAAATCCAAAAGAGGCTACAACAGCTGGACACTAGTTTTTAATCAAACGTAATAATGTATTTGTTGAGGACTACTTTCAGCGGTGGATTAATCCACATTTGGTGCGGAGTATTTTGGGCAGCAGGATGGTGTGTGTGGACTGAGTTAAAATAAGCTCAAGTTTTAATAACAACAATGGATTTCTATGGCTCAGAGGAATAAGATACACACAGTTCTTGTTACTGGGAAACATTCAGTCCTGTCCTCTGAGGATGACATTACAAAATTTCAAAATACCATATTGGAAAAGGAAACCTGACCTACAATAATATATGACTGTGTTAAAAGAGACAAATGTTAAAATGAGTGAAAATACATCTTTTACTATTGAATCAGATGATTGTTGTTGCTATAAACTCAGTCAAACCACATGTGACAGTGTGACTGAAACACGGACTGTGTGGAACCAAAGACAAAATGGCCGACTTACTCCTGCTCTTTCGACTGCACATGAAGAACACTGGTCTCTCCGCCAAAACCTGTGAGGACACAATGGAAACAGGTTCATTTAAACCTGTCGACCTCACTTTGATGTTTTTATTTCTGGAGGAAATGAGGTTGATTTCTAATGAGAACAGATTCTCATTTAACTGCTGCCTGAACACCTGATTGGTCAGACTGAGGGAGAGGTCAGAGAAGCTTACTTGTTCCTCGGTCACTGAAGATTGCGCTTAGTCCTTCGTCAAAAGTTAAGTTGATGTTGACACCTGGATCACAGGGAGGAGGACAGATGGACAGGTGGGGTTGACAGTGGGAATAAAAGTTCTTATCAATGAGGTAATGACACTAAAATGAATAGATCTGCACCTTAATCACTTAAAGGTAATGTGAAAACTTCCAGCAGAAAACAATTGTACAGTTCTGTTTGTGAACAGATGAAACAAACAAGACACAAGAAGCTCATCACTGAGCTTTACACGTGTTGATGAGTTTGTATTTGGACTTTAATCAGAGCCAGTCTTAAGCCTTCACGCTAAACTAAGCTAAGCTAACCATACCATGTCTGACTCCAGATCCGTACTTAACAGATAGTGCCTTTCTAAATACCTTTTTCTTTCAAGTGTAGTTTTGTAACTGTTAAAGTAAAAGTTCCAAAGGTTGGGAAAAACATTTATTCACTTTCTCATAACACCGCTGATGGTTGTGTGTTCAGGTGCCAGTGGATCTGTAACAGCCATGCACACGTGTGATGCAGGAGGATTATGTGGATGACAGTATACACATGTCTGAATATCAGATGTCTGGTGTATGATGTGTTGTAGAGCGTGGCGCAGGTTGTACCTTTAGGTGTGCTGATCGCTCTCTTGTCTACAGCACCTTTACGCATCACTGGAAACAAAGACACACAAAACAAGTCAGTCAGGACCGAGTGTCGTCACTGATGCTGGATAGAAAAAAGACATCAGATTGAATTAAATAATAAAACTACGTCTTTATAATAAATCAGACCGAGAATGATATGAAATATTTTTATAGTGTTTCTATAAATATCTAAAGAATCAAGTACTGAGCACAACACAGATATATCTGCCTGGCTAGCTGCCTCACTGCCTAACTAGCACTTACTAAGCACTTAGATGTAGTACTTACTATTTACACCAAGGTCTCCTACTGCACTGAAGCTTTAGTGATGTCCCCTACTTGTAAGTTGTTTTGGATAAAAGTGTAAATGTAAAATATCAGCCCCTTTGATGTGTTAGCGACTGTCGCTTTATACATCCCACAGACAAGGAGTCATATTGTACAGGTTAGTATTCATGTGGAGAGGTGTTCGAGTAAACCTGATGAATCTAAGTCCAGTGTTCCCTTTCTTTTAGCTCTGATTGGTCTCCAGCAGCTCCTGAGGAAAATAACTGACTCTTTAGCTGATAAATGCTCCACTTTGTTCAACTGCTGCTCTCTGACTGTGTCTGTCTGTTGTTTGCCGCTGAGCAGGAAGTGGCATTTTAAATCTTCCTCTCTGAGAAGAGCTGCCTACTGATGCTAGAAACCAGACTGATGAGAGCTGTGAGATTCAAAACAAAACTTTATAGTTTTATAGCAGAGTTGGTGATAATTCTCTGTTGGTTCATCAGCACCTGTGACAACACGTGTAGATCAGAGTTTTAACCTCCAGCATGTTTTACCTGTTTCCTGCAGAGCAACCAACTTCGACCGGACGTGTTGCTCCCGTTGGGATCTGTTCGTACGCCTGATAATAAAACACACACACAAAGAAACATTTACATTTAAAACATTGGGCATCCTGATGACCCAGTGGAGATGAATACCATACAATGTCCAATACATGCCTAAAAATAATGTTAAAAAATTACCTTCCTGCTTCCTCCATTCTCAATTGTATAATGACAGTCTTATTGATGTACAGTTTTACTTTGAACAAATATTAATTGTTCTGTCTACAACACAGGGATTAAAGCAAAACCTAAATAAGAAAAAAGGAATTTCTGACCCACTGCTGCAGGCTTTTCCATTGGTCTAGATGTTGACATGTATTAAGTGACTTGGTTGTGAATGGCCAGTGAGGCCAGTCCCAGAACACTGACGCATATTTATTGAATAGAATTTTTTTTTTTTAAATGGAATATTAATATAAGTGAATATTAAAATGAACATAAATGAGAAATTGTAGAGCGTGAGTAATTGTATGTCTCTATATGTCGGCTCTGTGATGGACTGGCGACCCGTCCAGGGTGTACCCCGCCCTCGCCCAATGTCAGCTGAGCGGACACAGACAAAGAGGGGCAGTGTCCAGCTGGTTTAGTGACACAGACAGACAGAGACGCACATCAGCTTCACGTTACTGTCATTTGCTGTCATCCAAATTGGAGAGGAGAGAAGATAACACAGGTTTATCCAATTGCTGTGTGGAAGGTACACCATTGCATGTATACACTCTCTGGCTTTTGTTTTTGTATTTTAAAGAGGAGACGGGTGCTGTGCCGCCTTTTTAGTGTGGCTGCTTTTTTCCCCTCGACATGCGGTTGCTTCCCAGAGGTTTTCATTTAAAAAAAAAAAAGCGGAGGAAACTGAGAAAAAGGGGGATGGTCGACACAGATGGCTGCCCACCCTGAGTCTGGTTCTGCCCGAGGTTTTTTGCTTCTTAAAAAGTTTTTCCTTGCCACTGTCACAGTGTTATCAGTCGAATAAAGAGTGCAGTCTAGACCTGCTCTATATGAAAAGTGCCTTGAGATAACGTCTGTTGTGACTTGGCTCTATATAAAGAAAAATTTACTTGACTTTAGATCTACAAGTTCTCACACACTGATCTCATACGTCTGTCGTAGCTACAAAGAGCTTCAGTCCCTGGCAAAATGTAGTGATTATTGCACACGTGAAGATACTGAGTCTCTGGTGTTGATCGGCTGCTTTGGAAACCTACCTGTCAGTGTGTGACAGTCTGAGAGACGGGTGGTTTGGACGTGCCGGCTGTGGGGTGGCAAAGCTTGACAAGAGGAGGGGCCTGGGCCTGGACCTGGTAGGGGAGCCCTGGACTGAACCCTGAGGAAAGACCAGAATCACCATGACTGACTATGAGGAACTCAGAGACGCTGACCTGCACTTAATTCATTTAAGAAAATAACAATTTCATTTCAGTAATTTCTTAAAAGAATCAATAATTATAATTAAATACTTTTAACAAAAACAAATCACATCACAACAGTAATGGTAACATATTTATGTATTGTATTTCTTCTTTAATCTATTTAAAATGGAAAGAGAAGACAATCTTACACTCCCAGACCATTTAAGACCCTGAATTTCTAAATATGACCTCAGACAGGGTTTTTCAGTCCCTACAGAAACATTGTCACCACACACTAGGGTGACCAACCAATAATCCAAATATGAATAAGTGTTAACCAACTATCAAAATACCTGATTATTAATTTAATAATCGACTGACTAATCAATCAGCTCCAATTATCTTATTTTAATACAACTTAATTAATAATAATATATATATATTATCAATTAATAGTAATGAATATATTGTATCAAGTCAAACAGTTAATAATGTTTAAAATTAAAATGACATTTAAAAGTATTACATTTTTGAGTCTTTACAATAGTCCTTTTTACATAGCCATAGGAGCACAGGGCAGGTATTATGTTCTTTTTTTATCTGTTAAAAATTTTGAACATTTTTATGATTTCCTGTAAATATTTTCAAACGATAAAAATTCATATAATTGCAATGTGAAATATTTTTAACTGTCAATTAAATCACCACAATCATGTTTAAAACAACTAAAACATTGAGGAATGACTGAAGACAACTCTAAACCTAGTTTTATATATAAAACGATTGAATTTAGACATTATTGAGTAGTAATGAATGTGTTCATAAATTGTGACAAATGATTAACTTCACAAATATAAAGGTTCTGCTTATATCATTATTATTATTATCATATACATTTATATTGAAGTTGCACTCAGTGTGTATGTAGTGTATTCTGACCTGTGCAGTGGGAGTCTTAGCATCTCCCGTCAGGGTGCAGTTCTTCATCTGTTCCTCCATCTCTCTCCCCCTCTCAACCGACTTCAGAGCAAACTCCACCTCAGCCGCCAGCTGTTCGTCTCCAGAGAAAAACTCCTTCACCTCATTACGGTACTCCTGCATCGTCACCTGATGGGAACAACAGTGTCATGTTGTGCATGGAGCAGTGTCACTGTGGGTTTGCTTAGCTCAAGGTCTTGCACAGTGACTCCACTCTCCTCTCAGACAAAAATCTGAGTCACGAATCAGTCAGACCTGAACACACAGTCATGCAAACACCACTGCAATAATTCCCCATAATTACAAGGCCATAACAATTCACTATTAGCTTTACTAGCACAACGTTGTATATGTGTGTATATATATATATATATATAGTGTGCACTTTGAAGCACACATCAATAACATCATCTGGGCTGCATTCTTCCATCCACGCCATATCAATCACATACGTCGGTCACTTACAACCCACAGCACTGCTATTCTTGGACATTCCTTATTCACATCTCGCATTGATTACTGTAACTCTATCCTCACTGGTCTTCCCCAGAATCCCCTCAATAGACCATATTACTCCTGTTCTCCAGCAACTGCACTGGCTTCCTGTTAAACACCGTATGGACTTCAAGATTTTGCTCCTCACTTTTAAAGTCACCTCACAACCTACCACCTCCGTATCTCTGTGATCTACTCCAAACTTGCTCACCTGCCCGTGCTCTTAAATCTTCCTCCTCCACTAATCTCACTGTACCTCCTGCCGGTCTTACTGCCCTGGGGTTCAGAGCCTTCAGCTGTGTTGCCCCTTGACTTGGGAACTCTCTTTCACAAGACACCTGTAATATTGATTCTCTTCCTGTTTTCAAATCCCACCTCTTCAAACTTGCCTACTCTCTTTAACTCCAGCACCAGCGCCCAATCATATTTTTTTATACAATTACATTTATTCTAATTTATTCTGTATTTTGTGCCATGTACTATTTTTTCATATAATTACAGATACATTTTATTTTTTAAATAAAATGTATCATCATTATTCATTATTATTATATATAAAGAGATATAAATATCTCTTTTCTGTTTGTTGCTTGTTGAACAGTTGGTTTGATAAACTTCTTATTGGCCTTTTACTTTTTATTGCAATTACAGTAAAGTTCCTTAATAGCTCCAGTAATCTTCACTTATCTTTACTTCACCTGGTTCTCTCTCAGCATCTACTCTTCTGTGTGTGTGTGTGTGTGTGTGTGTGTGTGTGTGTGTGTGTGTGTGCGTGTGTGTGTGTGTGTGTGTGTGTGTGTGTACTGAGGAGAGGACAGAGAAGCAGTGTGACCATAAATGATAAATAGAAAATAAATATGGCGGTTAATAGTTACTGGCTGCATGGTGACTATTCATGGCCCTAAACAGCATATTATCAGGCAATTGCTGTATTTTACAAATGAAAAAAAAAAAAAAAAGAAAAAAGAAAATTTATCAATTCATCCCTTTTCTGTGGCCCGGCACCGGTCGACGGCCTGGGAGTTGGGGACCTCTGGCCTACAGCATATCTGATGTAAACAAACTTGAGCGTAACAACGTACTACATTCTCAGAACCTTTTGGTGAACTACTCTAAAACAGGGGGTGAGCTACTGATGGCTCATGAGCCACCTGCTGGAGACCCCTGATCTAATCCAACTCAATACAACAGTCCTATAATAAATAATTATTCCCACTCTATGTCAATGTACAGTGTTTGATATTTGTTGATGATGTAATGCTGTGGTCTCACCTGCAGGTAGGCCATGAGGTCTCTGAGGACAGGAGAGCGTTTCTGCTCCAGCAGATTCTTCAGGCTGATGATGAGAGGAACCGTGTTCTCGATGAAGGCCTTCTTCGCGACCTGTGGGTCAGAGCAGGAAGCTGAAAGGAGCTCACACACCTTTAGAGCGGTATTTGGTTTAATAGGAAAACTACACCATCAGACTCATGATGTACCTTTGGCCAAGTGCTGACTCCACCCACTCACCTGCACTGTTGGGCAGTAATGTATTAGTAATGTCAGTGCTTTTTCAGTAATGAGCAGTGTAAAGGGATCACAATCCCACTGACAATCTGTTACTTTGACATCTGGTTGTCAGCTTGTTCTCTTACAGCAGTGAGATGGAGGATTAATGTAAATGTGCTGTGCTGTGGGACGAGGAGCCCAGATACACTTGGGTATAAGCATTAGCTGTGTTACTTTAGCCAAAGGTGTGGCTACATTCAAGAGTCCTCGAAACATTTTTTTGATGACTGATTGACAGCAGTGTTCAGGTAGCTTGACCAACAACTCTCACCTGGGTCACCACCTTCTTCTGAGCGGCCTGCAGGACAACCTTAGCCATGTTGGCCATGTTCTCCTCCTCTGGTTCCTCCCCGGATCCTGCTGGAGCAGAGATGGCCTGCAGCTTCATCTCCTTCAGGCTCAAGATGTTGAAGGTCTCTGACAAAATTTCTGCGCCGTCTGCATCCAGAGGCAGCTCTTCGTCTGCAAAGTATGCTGGGATAGGGAAATGGAAGAGATTACGAGGGAGTTTTTTGAAGTTAGCATTACTCCAGGTCCAAACTGGTGCTTGTTCAGAAAGAAAATGTTTCCCAAGAGATGTTTAAATTCATAAAACATCCTTTCATGAAGAACAGCCAGAGTTCATTTCACCATACAAGTCATAACCAGAGAAAGAAAAACGTTAAGACCACACACATCTGGGGTTCTACGTACACGTGGTGTTGGTTTTACTTCCCAGTTCAAACACACACTCACCTAAGATGGTGTGGTTGATCTTGTTGGTGATGTTGAAGCGTTGAGCGTCTGTGAAGTGCTCCAACAGGAAGCGGTAGATCCGGAAACGCTTCTCCCGGTGCTGAGCTCCTTTCAAGGAGAACCGGACCTTCTCACTGGATAGATTTTAAAATAATTAACCCCATGAATCAACAAAAATAACCGAGTTAACCTTACATATAATGCTTGAATGAACTGTAACACGACACATACTGTACTGTGTCAGTGGATGACCCACAGCTTCCTACCTCTCATTTTGAGGGAACTTGTTGTAGGACTTGTGTTCTTTGTAGGAGTTGAAATGGAAGATGCACTCAATGAAGTGCTGGCTGAACATCTCTGGGTTCTTCTTCAGCAGCAGGTGGAGCAGACAGTATTCACACAGACTGGGGGGGGGGTTACATGAGATAGTTACACTTTAACTGACAAATGCATGCACTAGAACATATGATCTTTGTCTGGGACATTACAATAGTGAATTACAACAGACATACAGTATTTACACATGCATTCCCTATCATCGTGTCATGGATACTCCAGTTTAAAAAAGTGACACTGTGATATTGCAGCCCTGGTAGAACTGGATACTAAAGATCAACAGGACCTTGCTGCTGATTTCCCAACACTGCCAGTCATCATCTGTCTATCTATACAGTTTGATTTACCTAGCGATGGCAGGGGCTGGGTCAACCAGCGCCACCATGAAGCGAAAGAAGAGGGAGCCCTTCCATTTCACAAATTCCTCCTAGAAAAAAAAAAAAAGAACAGAGGTTACATGAGACAGATTTTACATCCAAACTATGCTTAAAGATTTGCAGAGAACAGCTGAGTAGCACAAAATAAAAAGGAATGCAAGGACAAGATTCAGTGATTAAAATTAAAATCTTTTGTTATTTCTTCATCCAGTATTTTCCTTCTAGTTTAAGTGTTTAAAGAAAAGCTCACTGCAGAGTTCTGAGAATAATACCATTGTCTCATGATGGTTTTTAACTGGTGATATATGAAAAATATGAAACAGAACTTAGTTTTAAATGCCCTTACTGATCTTTAATTTACCATTTGATAGTTTTCAAATAGTATTTGTTGCTTTTAGATCATATGGAGAGAGAAGAAAGAACCTGGTTAATATTTGAGGCAAAAATCGGCTTTGGCTGATATTCCATAATAATGATTATTGTGATATTTCCTTCCATATGTGATATTTTTACATATATGTCACCCAGACACCATCCAGGCTGCATATGGTGGGTTTGCTGGAGGCGTCATGACAAAGATGGTACCCTGGTACACATGCTCTGGAGTTCTGATCAGCTATACATATCTATATATCTCTTTCTCCCCCAGTCTGTTTTTTTTGTGTGACCCTCCAGCAGCAAGTGGCTTGAATCTACCACGTTCTGATCCAGATGATCCAGACTGCCCTCATGTTAGGATGGAAAGCCTCCTCTGCACCAGCATCACACTTCTCTTGATCACCTGGCTGCTCTAGAGCAATTATCACACAGGCTGCTTGATAAGGTGGAGGAGTATTACTTGAAATGGGGGAAGTACCGTTCTTATATAATCGGGCCTCTAATGGCGTTTCCAGCTGATGTAACTAACAGTAAACTATTACATGAATTACATTTGGTTGGAACACCAGTTGACAAGCAATCCTGTAAACGCTTAAGCATTCTGTGATTTTTTTTTACTTCTCTTTCCTTTCTTGTCCTCACATCCCTGTGTTATCCTTTGTTTATTTTTTGTGTGTATCATTGTATTCATTACAGATTTCTTATTATTTTAATGTTCTGTCTTTTGTGATTGAAATATTTGCATACATTTTGTTCATCATAAAAAGATATCGCCCAAGCCTACCTTTAACAGATGTTAATTTCATTGAATTTATTTTTTATAAAAGGGCAACAATCATCTTAATCAATTATATCATTTAAAAAATGTTAAAAGTAATTCTCAATCTGTAGTGCAGAAGGTCTAGACCAGGTCCCACCTGCAGCAGGTTGGTCAGCATGATGAGAGTCTGCTCCCTGATGACGGCCTCATTGTCTCGCAGACAGGCGGAGATGTTGGGGATGTAGTGATCCACGATGTTGGTGTAACGAACGCACAGATCACACATAACCACCACCACGTTGTTGCGCACGGCGACCTCTGTGCCAACCTCCAGCTCCCTTGCAAACACTGGCAGGTACTTCTGGACTAGTTCCTCATGCTGCAGGCACAGTTTACCTGAACCAGACAGACGCCAAGAGAGGAAACATCACGTGTGTTATGAGATGGCAGGAATGAATGGAGGTCAAGGTTATCATTTCTCAGACATTACTGTAAGAGACACAGAAACTAAGGAGGACAGTTCACCTAAAGTGATGACTCCGTGGGCTCTGACTCTGGTCGGCAGAGAGTTTGCTTTGAACTGGGACAGAGGCAGCGAGGCGGGCAGCTCCTCCTGGCAGCCTGTCAACAACCAACACAGAGAACATGTCAACCATGTTACCACAGAATATAATAGATCTGTTCACACACACTTTTAAAAGCCCATTAGGGTTTGATTTGATTTTTTTTTCCCCACTTTGGCTACTCTTACAGGTAGTACCAAAAAGGGACACTGTGGCACAGAGCAATACACTCCTCCTAAGAAATATAATTTTCAATATCATCTTATGTGACATTTATTAAGAAAATGAGAAGTTTTCTTCAAGAACCAGGTCTGCTCAAAAACAAATCTTTCATGGCTTTTTCATGCCAATTAGACAAGGAAATAAAAAATTAAAACAAGACTTGAAGAATCAGAATACAGTCTGCATTAGTGCTAAACTGATGAATCTATATCGGCTGATATTATCCTCTGTGACATAAACAGGTTTGAGTGTATAAGGCAGTTGATCAGCAACAGTAAAATGTACAGAAATGCTACTCTAGGTTTGTCTAACTATGCCCATCAGGGAGCACTGTGGAATCCATATTAAGATTGTTTAAGGTGTGTGTGTGTGTGTGTGTGTGTGTGTGTGTGTATGTGTGTGTGTGAAATTTCTATCAATCAGTCAATATAATATTATTGGATAGTCTGATCTTGCAAATGTCAATATCAGCATCAGCCTCAAAAATCCTGTATTACTGAGGTTATAGTCTGTATGACAAGCCTCAAAAAGTGCTTCTATAAAGTAAAGTTAACTTTTGCTGCAACACCACATCATCCGCCAAAGTGTTGCCTTGACAATCAACCCTCACACGTCCATCCTGCGTACCTGCCAGTTTGTCAGAATGTGTTGTGAGGACAGATTCCACCAGCAGCACCGTCCTTTTGCTGACCTTGGCGGGACAGTTAAGTGACGCCACACCCAGAGTGTGGAGGTGTTTTATCTAGAAGAAAGAACATATTATTTTATGAAAAGCACAACTATACATGAACTGACCTGGGTGGTGCAGGTCTGCGATTCTGACGGATAACAGTAATGTGACACTTTGAGCACAACCAAATTCTTTTTCTCTGTTGTCCAGACCTCTCTACAGACTCAAACACAATTTTTTCCCCTAAAATCTGAGCTTTTTCTAAATGGGCCTCCAGCGTGTGTGAATCTGACAACTGCAGCTTGGTGTTTTAGTGTGTTTATTGATAAAGTGAGACTTTAATAAAAGATGCTGTAAGCTGTTCAGTGAGCGTCGGAGCTGTGTGTTAAGAAGACAATGATTAGTCCTTCTAACGTCCTCTGTAATCTGTCTTTTTAAACGTCACTGTACCTGAATACAGAGATGTTCCGAAACCATTTTCCTTCCTGATACTTATTCTAATAACAGAACTTGTGTATTGGCTGATACGGAGTAACAATCCGATACCACTGCTCTAAAAAAAAAAATGTAACAGCTGTCAACCACCAACCCTGTGTGTTTGTAATATGATTGCTGTTATTAGGTAAGAGATGAACAGATACATGAACACAATAGAATTTTTCTTATGTGTTCATGTTCTTAATTTGACTGTCCAAAAAAATAAAATAAATAAACATAGGAATAAATGAAACTGAATGCACTCGTTGTCCTAACACTGGGGCCACCCTTACATAATGTACATGTTGCCTTTTTACTGGTGGGACTTTTCATTGTAACATGTTGCTAAATCAACAGCTAACATTACACTATTTAGAAGAAATCTATTTTTCTTCACCACTCTAAAACAGTAGTTTCCAGTGGCTGCACAGTGTAGACCACTGTTTTACAGCGAGGAGGAGAATTCATTTCCAGGAAAACGGCTGTTTTATCCAGGTGCGAAACTATATAAGATTATTAATAAATTACATGGTATCGGAATCAGTCATCAGTCGTCCTCGTCTCGCCTGCAACTAGCCCAGAACACTGCGGCTCGGCTTTTGACCGGTTCCAGGGGGAGGGACCACATCACTCCTATCCTGGCCTCTCTCCACTGGCTCCCAATTCGCTTCAGGACAGATTTCAAGTTTCTCGTTTGTTTTTAAAGCCTTCAATGGATCACCCCCCTACATTAGACCTTTTAACCCCCTTACACTACAGCCAGGCCCCTCAGATCATCGGACACGGGCCTCCTCACCGGCCCTCACGCTAACCTTAAAAGCAGAGGTGGCTGGGCTTTCTTAGTCATGGCCCCCTGACTGTGGAATAGCCACATCTATCTAGGCTCAAAACATTTTTATACTCATTAGCTTTCGGGCCAAGATAAGTCGTCACCCTCATTTTAGTCTGCTTGCCTGTTTTTGTCATGCTGTTTGTTGATGTTTTTGTTTCTCTGTGTTGATTGTATTTTCCCGGAGTTGTACAGCACTTTGGTCAGCTGTTTGCTGTTTTTAAAATGTGCTTTATAAATACATTTGTGGTTAAAATGTAGTGGTTTTAGGCCTCAATTAAATACTGTAACCCTTGTACTACTACTACTACTACTACTACTACTACTACTACTACTACTACTACTACTCACCATCAGCTCCTCGTTGAGGTTCTCGGTTCCTTTTTCACTCAGCATGATGGTGGCTAAATAAGCCTCACACGCTGACACCAGCTCACCACAGTGCCGGTTCAGAAAAGCCTGAAGATCAGGAAGAATAAGTTGTTTTGATTAAATCATGTGATGAATGATGTCATACTTGGGAAATATATTTATATTTGGAATTTTACAAGAAAATTATAAAAAAAAAGGTAAAGTCAACAAACCACATAAACTCTGAGAACATAATTAAGAAAAAAACATAATTATCAATATCATATTGACACTGGTCAAAACCCTGATTTTTGTATTTCTCATCTGCTTGAAAATAAACACTCAGGTCTCACACTCAGTAAACATGAGTGGGGGGGGGTTACCTTAAGTTTACATTTTGCATTGTTTACATCTCTAATTATGAAACGCTCCTGTATCAGTGAGAATGCAAGATCTCCAACCTGAGTCTGCTTGATGTCTTCACTGTGGCCGAGCTGATAAAGAGTCTCCACAGAAGCACTGATCACTTCCAGAGACAAAGTAAAAGTCTTCAACGAGGACATCAGATCATCTGGAGAGAGAGAGAGGAAGTCGTCAGATTAAAGCAGTTCCAGACTCTTCCTGTGAATTTGCCCATTATCTCAAACCACAGTCACTTACTGACAATCCTGTCTTTGGTATCTTCATTCAAATGTGGAGCGATGTCTCCGATCACACCCATGATGTGACAGCAGGTTGCCACACTGACGTCCTTTGAGCTAAGAGCAGAAACAAAAAAATATATGTACACAAACACTGGATTCTCAGCTGAATATAAAACATAAGCTCAAAGCACATGTAAATAAAGCCTGTTTCCCTCACACCTGACCATGCTGTCCCAGGCGTCCAGGATCTTGCTGTAGGGCAGTTTGGGAGAGGAAGCTACGACCTTGGAGAGCAGCAGCCAGGCTCCGGCGGCGTGCTCAGCCTCGGTGTGCGAGATCAGGATGGTGATGAACCTCGGCGTGAACTTGTTCTGTTTGGACCAGATGGTGAACGCCCTGCTGAAATATCGGCTGGAGACACGAGACAAATACAAAATGAGAAGATGAGGTCGCTGCGATCCAATTAAGAAAGCCGTTTGAAGGTCAGTAAAACTCGTTATTTTAACTCATTATTGCTAATCTTCAGCATTCAAGCTGGACTGAATGTCATCGGTCCAACCTGAGGTTTCGGCAGTCGTGACAGAGCAGGCCCAGCAGGTCCCAGGTCAGCCTCTGACTGGTATCCAGGTGGCTGCTGGCGGAGTACTGCTTGACCTGGCTGAGCAGCACCTGGTCCAGAGCCTCCAGGGCCTTGTCCTGCACCGAGTTCTCAGAGTCCACTACAGCCGGCACCACACCCAGCAGCCAGGCCTTCTGCACAACACTGCACTGTGGTTTGGCCTGATGGTCAGAGCAGAACACATTAAACCTTTAATAGCAAATCTCTCATACATTTTGTCATCCAACTAGATTACTTGGAAAAGTATGCAGCATGCAAAATGTTCCTTTAGGCACAGTCAGTGTTTTTCTTCTGTGTGTTTTACTGTCTGTCAGAGCTGCTGGTTGAGACTCACAGCGAGCAGCTCTCCCAAACACTGCAGGGCCTTTTTCTTCACAGACACCGCCGGGTCTCTGCAGCGCTCGGACAGCACAGCCAAGTTCTCCAAGCTCATGGGGATCACATCGTGTTTCAGGAGACCCATCAGGGCCTGTGGAGGGACAGCAGAGCACAGATGTTAAAGGTCATCTGCGCATCTCAGACAGAAAGCTACTAAAGGGTGAAAACACATATAATGGCGACTGATCAGTCACTGTGATTTGAAACACGAGGCTGTCTGGTGAAGCTCAGCTCCAGGTACCTGCAGCGCTGATTTCCTCACGTTAGTCTTAGAGTCTTTTACACGCCGCAGGAGCAGAGCCACGTTCTCCTTTGCTGCATTGAAAATACAGAATAACACACCTCTCTTACACATCTGTTTACAAAAGCTGCCCAGTATCCACTGTGTGTAATAAGAATCATGTGAATGAGAAGCTGAAGTTGGTTTGTCTCACCGTCACAGACAGAGCTGTCAGCGCTGCTGATCTCCACAGTCCTGAAGGGCAGGCTGCGGTACGTCTTCTGAGTCTGCTGGGAGCTTAGGCTTTCTGAAACACACAGTCACATCTATTAAAACACCATGCACCACAGTGAACCATGCCTGGGTATCAGACTCCACTTCATTTAAGCATTACAGACTGAAGTGTGTCTGCAGCACATTGTAATGTACCAAGAGCTAGCAGTGAATAATCCAGATTTTAACTTGTTTGCTGAAAAAAAAATATATATTTTAACAGCGAGGTGAAAAATATGTCCATGTAAACCAGAGAGTTCTGTTTTCATTTTGTGAGGTTTTGCGTCTGCCAACAAAATACAGTGAATGACTTTTGGTTTGTGGCACTAAAAGAATCAAAACTGATACTCAGGATAATCCAGAGCTCACTAAAAATTACTGCCATCACTAATTGTTAAGCAATAATACTGTAATAATACTTATTACAACGTAGGTCTGATTTTCATGGTTTTGTCCATCATTTCGGGCTTATAAAATGATACTTCCAAAGTAACTGCCTGAAGTCAAACAGGTTAAGAAACACGAGCAGTCAGATGAGGGCGGCCACTAATCATTATTTTCATCATCGATTTACCTGCAGATTATTTTGTTGATTAATTGATTCATTATTTGATCTATAAAAATCTGAAAACAGTGAAAACTAATCTTCCAAGGTGACATCATCAAATATCTTCTTCTGTTCAACCAACAGTCAAAACTCAAAGATATTCAGTTTACTATGAAGTGAAAACCCAGACACACAGGCATATGACTTAAAACGCAGACCTGTTTTGACCTCATCAGGTGTTCATCAGGTCGGTAACAGTCAAAACAGATTAAGCAAGCAAAGAAGTCTTTCCTGAACCTGCCACCTACAGGGGGAAAGGAAGTGCCTCAACAGCGGCCAAAATGAACTGCAGAAGAAAAATGCCTAAGATTTAAAGACAACTAAAACTTACAATGACAAACCACTCTTTAATTGCAACACCAAATATGTAACACCTCACCCTGTAAATGCAAGAAACATAAGACATCACAATTTTTTCCCCTTAAAAGTTTCCTGGACCTGCTGCACGTGAAACACATTCAGAACTTCAAGCTTCTTCATTTTTCCTTGTGTTAAAAGTGAGCAAAACTTTAAATGTACAGTAGGTTGCAGTGAAAGAAGGAGACTTGATGGATGTTTTGTTTCTGACTGTTTGAGTTTCTTGAGCCATCACTTTTTTAACTTGAGTACAAAGTGATTATGACACAGAGGAGTGATGGATAAAAGTACAGAAATAAAGCTGGAGCTGTAATTATCTAGAATTATGTCTTGAGAGCAAAAGAATAGAGAGAGGAATAAAGGGTCAATCTTGAAATTAATCTTTCCCACCTGTGTGGAATTTCTCCATCCAAACTTCTCTATTTTGAGAGACACTTGGTTTAGTCAGTTAAACAACAAAGTGAAAATAAAGAAACAGTCGAGTGCAGGGACCTACCTAATGTGGTTTCACCTTCCAACATGGTCTGCGTTCCAGCTGAACAAAACAACAGACAGGTCACTTTAAATGTGTCCACAAAAACAGTTTATTAATGTAAACACAACAGCTCTGAAATTATACTCTAACAGTTCAGTGTGTTAAGTGTTGTGTGATATCCTCCCACGCCACACGTTTTCATGTTTCAGCTCTACAAAGTGCATCAACTACTGAAATATGAAACAGGTCCAGACTCAGCCCAGGTTCCTCACATCTACAGGAACTTCAGTTCAGTGTCAGGTCCTGTGTGTGTGTGTGTGTGTGTGTATGTATGTATGTATGTATGTATGTATGTGTGTTTGTGTATGTGTGTGTGTGTGTGTGTGTATGTGTGTGTGTGTGTGCTTCCTCACTGGCAGAGAAGAGGTTGTGGACGGCCCGGGTGACGTTGAGTGACGGCAGCTCCAGGCACTGGGCTAGAGAGGCGAGGGCGTGGCCTTGGACGGTGGGTGACTCGTCCATCCGCCGAGCGAACAGCAGGCTCTGGATGAGGAATTTGTGTGGCAGGAAGCAGGCCAGCTCCGGGTCCTGTATCTCCTCTGGATTCCTCTCTGGCTGCTCCAGCAGAACCATCGCCACGTCCACAGAGAAGAGCCGGGACACCATCTACAGAAGCCACAATAACAGACTGTGAAGACTGGGATGTCACTGATATGAGATGATGAAGCCTGATATTTAGACTATAGCCACTGTTTGTTAACATTCATTGGGGAATAATGTATATGAAGCCCCTCTGTGGGAATGAAACAGTCACAGTTTGTTTGTCTATATGTACCACAAGGCTGCACTGAGAAAAGCTGAACCACCTGTTATTTTATTGTTTCCCCCAATGCCCTCCTGCTTGAATATGTGTTTTTTTTCTGTATTTGTTTAGAGCATCAATTCAAAGACCTCTAGTTGCTCAGCGGTGAACTGGTGGTTGTGGCCAATCTCAGTGCTCCCCTGTTCCTGCTGGCATAGACTGGCAGGTTGGTCGTGTTTGTTATTTATTTAAGCAGCAACGGTTGAAACCTCCTAGCATTGCAGCCAAACTGTCTACTACGGGAGAAAGACTAGTTTGCCGTGCTCTGTGATACGTTAAAGAGTTTATATTCAATTATACTGTTAGTAGTTTTATGAACTATGAGTACATTTGTTAGAAAATACATGATCATTTGACAGATTTTTTCAGTTTATTCATAGACAAACTGTTGTTAACCTGCCATCCTCTGTGTACTGATGAAACCACGACGCTGTCTGTGGTGCTGAAGTAACAGACAGATTTATTCTCTTTTAAACTCCTCCTTTGGTATTAAATTGTCTGTAAACCAAATATCAAGAGCTCTCTGGACATTTTAAGAGACACATCGTAGCAATGTTCAGAGCGCCCACGGTTTCCTGAACAAGTAAAGTAGCAGTTGTTAGAGTTAAATGTTGCCTAGTGACCTCCAATTTCCATTACTACAGCAACACATTTGAATGTATATAGGCACCGTTGCCGTCGTTTCATCTGCTTAAAGTCCCTAATTACTGCCTTGTGGGTCACAACCTCCCCTTCTGGTCCTGAGTTACAGCATTGAATAATGGCCAGAAGTGTTTTTGCAGAACATTATGATGTCACAGTGAAGTTGACCTTTGACCCTTTTGACATAAAATGTCATCATTTCATTTATCTTTATAGATATTTGTTTTAAATTGTGTCAGAATTAGTGTATGAATCTTGAGTTATGGCCAAAAACATGTTTTCTGAGGTAACAGTGACCTTTGACACTCAAATTCCGGTCATCAGTTGAGTCCTGGCGAATGTTTGTACCAAATTAGAAGAATCTAGGTGTTACTGAGATATCCTGTTCACGAGAATGAGACAGACGGACGACCCAAAAATACTGTTGTCGTCCTGAGGCATAAAAGTGCCTCCTCAGCAGCTCAGCATCAGTTTGTATTTATGAGCATGTCATGCAAATCAGATGAAAAGAGTGTATTTACATCTGTAAAACAGAAACTGAAAATAGTGCTTCCTTGATTGTAATTTGTGATAAGCTTAGTGAATATTCTCGAGTGAATCTTAAAACAGTTTGGGGTTCAGTTCATTTCAGAATCCTGTATGTTTTCCTGTATGTGCCATGTTTCCATGTACACATTTTAGATTAAAGAAGAAATCCTGCTGTTCAAGGTAAAGAAGCACCAAAACCTGTGATCATCAAATATTAGTGTCTGAATCATGACAGAAATATAACATAAAGAAAACACCAATATGTAGATTTTAAAGGACATTTCTCACATGAATAAAGAGGCGACCACTGGGACACTTTACCTTTGAGTGTCTGGAGAAGTTAAACAGCCACTTGATGAAGCGGGCGTAGTCTGTGCTCGTCATCTGAGACGTCAGCATCCCCACAGCCTGAGCTCCGTGGCTTCGAAACTCGTTCTTCTCCACCATCTGAACATCCACAACACGAACATTATATCGCATCTGTGCTAATGCATCAGCTTACAACAATCTACCCGCAAACGGTAGTCTTCACAGGAGGTGAGCCACGGCTGGAGGACTCACCTGGAAGCAGATATGCTGCAGGAGGATGTGAAGCCAAGGTAACGCCAGCTCCTTCAGCTCAGCCACAAGGTGACTGGAATCACATAAATCATGTGTAATGTCATATATGAGTGAGTGACATATCTGCAGTTAAACAGATAGACATACCCCAAATAATCAACAATCAATCATTGCAATGTATGATGCAATTGATTAAATACGGTCAGGTATAGGCACAATAAAGATATTATGTACTGGTGGATTTTATAATACGAGCAACGATGCATTTCTATACATCTGTAACATCTGCAAATATTTTTTTAGAGTCTTGTCTCAGATTTTTATGTGGCAGAGAAACTGCTAAAATCCAGCTACAAAGCTCTGCTTATCCAGCAGGTGGCAGTCACGCTCTGTGCTGAACATGTGCACTAGAGGCTTTAAAAAGGCATTAACAAAAACAAGATAATGATAAATTATGTAATCATCATAAAAAATCTCAGACCATTATTTCCCCTATTTAACTCTGTTCTGAGTTTGTTCTAATGTTCTAAATTATTTGCCTAATTAGTTAACCATAGGTTTGTCTTCTCATTGCGAGCACTGGATCTCTCACAGCTGTAGATCTGCTCATCTGGTTTCAAGAAGTGAATGATACTGATTTTATGTCAATCACACATCAACAATCTCATGCTGAAATGTGTGTCCTGACTTTGTGGTAGAGATGAAGTCCAGCATCAGTTTAGCTGAAAAGCTGTGAAACTAATTAAAAATGTTTATTTCCTCACTTGGTTTAAATATTAACAAGATCCATATTCACAATATAGTAAAATCGTTCTACAGTTTGGTTTAACATTCGATGAAAAACGCAGTTGTTTACCAAACAAAATGGATGGCCTGGTCGCGAGTGGAGAGGACGGCTTGGCTGGGCACGAGGAGGGAGGGCTTCCCTCTGTTGCCTTTATTCATCATCAAGATGACGTAGAGGAGCCGGTGGAAAACCCTCTGCAGGGACTGAACAACAAACACATCAGTTTGCATCAGAAACATCCATCCATTGTGACATTAAGGATAAATAACACTGTAGATATCACCCAGGCCTCATGTTTAACCAAAATGAGATCACAATCTATTTCAGTTTTAAAAGCCTTTAGTAGATTTTATTTAGACATGATGGTTTATTTGTGTTTTACTTGTGTGGAGCCTATATTTTTCGAGCCTGTATTTTTCGACTTAACCTGTCTCTGAGAAGTTTCTGCCTCACATTGTTTCACTTGAATAGTTTTAGAGCCCTGAGGAGACAGAACTCTCCAGTATTGGACAATAAACAGCAAAGAAACATCAGGAAAAAGAAAAAAAAACAGAGATATGTTCTTATTTTCTGTTGTTAATCGGTCATTCAGTCAATCAATCATCATACGGCCTTTAAACAGGGGTCATCCTCTTGGTCAATTCAGGCTTTAGAGAAACAGAAGATCTAAGATCAGTAGATTTATTCCTGAAAAGGGAACTGTACCACTTAAAGCTTTTGTATCTCTAGCTACCAGCAGAGTCGGAATGATCCTCCATTACCAAGTCTGCAAAGTGCTGTTTAGTTTAATGCCTGCACCAGAGAAAATGTTTCTAATCTCTGCAGCTTGAAGATGGTATTTAGTGAAGTAAATTTACATAGTATCCAACAAGTCTGCGTACTGTCGGCCCACCATGCACCATGATTATTGGAGCTTACTTCTTTCTGGTCTCCGTGTTTTGGCAAGCAGAGCATCTGCAGGCCGTAGAAAGCCATCTCAGGAACACTCCTCAGCTTGGTGATGTCTCTGCGCAGAAACAAAAACAACTGTCTCCTCTTTCATGTCCTGGATATGTTCTTTAACATGGAAGAGCAAGACGTCAGAAAACTCACTGTTCAGCAGCGACGGTTAGCTCTCCAATGGCCGGCTCGAAGTAAAGCAGCTTAGTGAAGATCTGCAGAGAAAAAACAAACGGGTCAGCGGCTCAGTGTAGCATGAAGCGGGTGTGATCGAAGACACAGTAGTTACCTGTGTGCAGCTGTTGGCAGTCTGCGGTTTGTCTTTGAGTGGAAATGTGCGCAGCAGTCTGAGGAGGCTTTGAACAAGGAGAACCACAGCCTCTCTGATCTTGATCAAGTCCTGACCAGAGAAATGAAGCTCCTCTTCCTCCTCCTCTTCCTCATCCACTTCCATCTGAGGAAAACAACAGATACCATCACTGAAGGTCATTTTGCATATTTTTTTTGTTTGTTTTTTTCGATATTATGAATAATATTTCATATGAAGAGAAATATCACGATATTTGATATTATCGAATATTCAATATGTAGCATTAAGCAGCAAATGTTGTATCATCATATCTCGTAATGCCCCTATGGGTTTGAGTGGTATCTGACACAGGGCCGTACCTCTGCAGTGTCTTTCCGCTGTGGTTTGGAGCGTTTGCCCTCGGCCTGAGAACTCTTCAGACCGTCCTTCTTGCGCTTTTTTCCAGAGTCCTGAGGCCAGCAGTGAGAGGTCAAGTCAGAACACGTGTCCAATAAAACCTCATGGAAAACCTTGCTGGCGATGCTCCCTGGAAGCAGTGAACAAACATGCAGAAAGTCATCGAAAAAAAATTGTACACAAACACACAAAACATTCAACTTCTTAAAATGTACTTTTGTTGAAAAGCACTGATTCACACACAACTTGAGGCGCAACTGAAAAGATAAGCTATATGGTTTTTACTGTTTTACCTGGGATTCCCAGCAGCAGCAGGTAGAGTGAGGCAGCGTGCAGGCCGTTGACTCTCTGCTGGACATTGGCCGATTTGGCTTTTCCTGCCAGGACAAAGAAGGACAGCACGGCCACCAGAGTCTTGACCGACACCCCATTCTCTCCCAGATTCGCCCAGATACTCTGCGATGCAACATGGGATACAGTCAGCATTTACTGCTGTTACCAGACAGGAAAAACAGGTACCCAGCAGGCTGATGTTTTTCATCATCAAAGCATACAAAGCAATTGTTTCAGTATATTTCAGTACGTTATAAAAATCTTATTTTTTTTGTTGTTTGCTTGTCTGCAACTATAAAAACAAATACACATACACACTTGCACCTATATATATGTACATGAATTTAAACAAAAGCCTGAGCAGGAGATGTAAGGAGCTAATAGAAACACCTCTGCTAAATCTCAAGCCACAATAGACATTACATTAAAATAATAAGCAGCAAAATCCAGCATACTGGTTGTTCTAGAGACCACTCATGCAAGTCAGGCAAATGTAGCCTGCAAGTTCAGGTCAGCAAGTCCTCAACCTTCAAGTTTAAAATGGGAAGATATTTGTCATTGCTGTGGAATCAAAACAAAAAAAGCAGACGTATACAGTGTACACCAATTTGTTTAGAATTTAGATCCCGCATTTTAATACTACTACTACTATAACAAACAATAATAATGATAATAATTGTTATTATTACTATTATTATTTATATTTTGAATAAGTAAAGGACACTGAAGTTTTAAGTGTTTGACATAATTTTTTTGCACACTGGACAGAAAATGAAAACAAGGACAGGCTGTAAAGTAGGAAGTCAGACTAGAAATCTACAGGATGATTTAGAAAATGAGCAGCATAAATGTAAAAAATACATATCTTCAACTTAAGAGGGTAAAAATAGCTAAAGTGCCTAAACCCTGTAAATATCTCTCTGGAGCAGAGGACAGACCAGTTTTACCTGTGAAGCTCCACCTGTGCCTGCAGACTGCTGCTCGTCAGCAGCGTGGGCCAGTAAACACTTGTACAGGTTTCTGAAGGCCTTGTCTCCACTGGCTGCCAGTTCTTCTTCTATGGCGTCATCCAGTGATTTTCTCTCTGTGAACTCCAAGTCCCAAACTTCATCCACCCACGCTGAAATCACAACAGACAACATTTGAGAACTTGGAGAGCTCTGATGGAAAGCGTGTGAGTTCCTCATTTCCTCCATGTAAGAATTTTCCTTAATTAAAAGCAAAGTTATTTTCCTCAGCACAATCACAACTGAGCCTTTTAATTAAAACTACTCTGGAGCGTTAGGAGGCGCTGCTGATAATTGTAAGATCAAACCAATGATTTGCTAATTTGAGCCAAATAACTACTATGCGATTACAGTGCAAATCATTTCCCAAAACAGAATTCCCTTAACTTAAAAAATGAAATTGGGTTTCTTTACAAAACTTACATCTGCATTTCATTTTCACTAGAGCAGCATGAGTTATGGCTCATTTCAATCCAATATCCAAAATACAACATTAACACACCAGAGGTGGTAACAGGTGTGTGCACTGAGTAGTTAACAAAGGAAGCCCAACACAAGGCAAAACTCAACCCTGAACCAGCAGCGACTGTCTCTCCATGGACTGAAGTTAGTGAAAACATCAGCTGACACTGAAGCCACAGTGAGCACTTCCTCAGCACACAAAGGCAACACAATATTACAATGTGAATGTAAAAAACATGTCCAACACATCGGGATTCACACATACATCACTGCATCACCCCACCTCATCCAACAGTGGTCCCAGTGGTCCCATTCAGGGCAGAATAAACACTGTAGTGGACTTGGCATGTGTTACAGCTCCACAAGCAGCTAAGGGGAACAGTGTGTTTATGTGCTATCATGCATCTAAAACTGTCCTCCACTTTGAAGTCAACAAAAATAACTTGTCATTTAATACAACTAACTGTCAAAATTATAACAAGACAAACTAAGTATTTGAATTCCCTGTTGAGTTTCCTGACACCACAGCTTCTGAATGGAGAGGTTTTGTCATCAGATCTTCACTTTAGCACATGAATGTAACACCTGGAAGGATTCAAAACTTTAAAATTAAGTAACTAACATAAACCAGTGTGGAAGTGTGTTTCATTATGAAGCATCGGCTATGCTTAGCAAGTTTCAAGTCTCTGTGAGGAATAATCATGGCACCACTTGTATTAATTGTGAAATTGCTGTCAGTAACACCACCAAACAACCCTTTCAGCAGTGATGACATCTGTCTAAACGCTGTTCAAATATGGCTGCAACTAGGGTTGCAAATTGTAAACACATTCTTTTAACCGATCATTGGTAACATCAACGATAAATCAATTAATCGTTTTTTGTTTTGTTTTTTTAAATAACACCAAATGCGTTTTTTTTCCCTCTATCGAAGCTTTATTTTCCTCAATAACACTGCATATTCTGACAGCATTGCATAGCCTATGAAACATAAGCTGTAGAGGCCTAGACATATTTATAAAGATATCAGATTACCTGCGGAGCACGCTCATAAAAAATAATATATAGTCTTATAAGACAAGCTCAAACTGAAACATGCTCAAACATGAAAATAGAACATTTAGAAATATTTCAGACTCACAATGTCCCGATTTCTGCCAACTTGTTTTTGTTGAGGAAAATTAGCATGTTGACAAGGTCGGGTGTGCGACGGGAGCGCAGCCTGGTCACAATCAGTCCAGCGGCTGAAAACATCCGCTCGGATGTGTACTGATGTTGTGGGTATGGAGAGGTGTTTAAATGTTTGTTATCAAATAATTGGTATTTTGCTTGAAAAAATGCCTGAAAGAGTTAATCGGTTGCCAATATGGTTGACATTTAATTCTGTGACAGCAGACCCTTCTCACTGCAGACCTTCTGAAATGTCAAAACAGGAAAAGCACAAGATGGCTCAATTCCATTATGTGCCCTAGTAAACCATCATGTCAGTGAGTGAGAATGCACAATACCAGGACCCTGGGACTGACTCACCTAAATGGAATGCAGCCATCACTGAAGTTACTACTTCCACCTGTGCTTTTCTTGTACAGATAAGACAGAAACGTGGAGAGTAAGATTAAGCGTAACTACACACCACTACTCATAAAATCGGCAACCAGATAACTGATACAGAAGGTTGTTTCGCATCATTTCTCTGAAACAGAAACACACACAGCGAGGACGCAGACCGGAGTGTGTTACACAGCTGTTCACCGAATTCGCCGCTGGCTCCCAGCGATTAAGCTTTAACGTCTAATGTTTCGTTTTAACGGCGTTTTGCCTCAAAACGAGGCGGCACTGACAAACTTGACAGATATGTGAATGGGATTTTGAATACTGCTCTTCATGTACATCAGAGCAGGGCGCCTAACCCGGGAAATAGCGACGTTAGTTAGCGACGTTAATCCCTGTCATTCAGTATAACAGAAAAGGGATGCGTACTACATACACAAAACACACAATTTTACCTTGTGGGATTTCATCTATCTTCAGAAACTGCAACGCAGATATCAACTCCATCTTGTTTGTGTTTTGAATCAGCCCGCCAGAAAAATGCAGCCTTTCGCACATGCGCAGTGAACATGTCTTCAACACACATTTTTTCAGGTTTATTCTTTCAGCTTTCTTTACCGCCATCTTCTGGTGAGGAGGACAGACGTTATAACACACAGTAATGAAAATCTTTGAACCTCAGCCCCAGTTTGACTTTTGTGAATTTAATACTGCATGACTGAAGAGTATTGGGAACTGCAACACTAAACTTACTGTGGCTAACATGCAGTGCTACTATTGTAAAATCTTTATTGATCTGATTACGACTCATTATTTGAATGATTATAACAAATAACAGTAACACTAGTACTTGTAATAACTGCAGTAAAGGTCAGTTTTGTAATGTGGAGAAGACTAGCATCACATGCTAAAAATGCTCATACCTGCTGTGCCAAGGCAGACATGCTAGCATATTAACCTCCTGTGAATAGTTTAAAACTTATTTGTTGTGGATGGGAGAAATATTTAGTTTTTTTCTTCCTTTCTTTGTATGTGTGTGTGTGTGTGTGTGTGTGTGTGTGTGTGTGTGTGTGTGTGTTTGTTTAATGCTCTTTTGGGGAGGTGTATTTAAAAGATAAAACATGAAGGAGAGACATCCCATCATCTCTGTCAATTTGGCAAACAAAAACTGATGTCTTGTAATTCAGAAACTCATCACTGTCTGATAAATCTTCTTCCTCCTCCAGCAGAAATTTGGCCACAGTCCTTTCCTGTGAGATAGTGGGGAACACATGCTGGATATCGGTACCACTCTTATATGCTTTCAGTATGTAAAAGAGGTTTGGGTTTATGTACAGCGGGTTTGAAGGATAAAAGCCTGACTGGTCTCTGATTGAAATAACATTGGTTTAACCTCATTGTTACACCCGAGCAGCTTCCTAATACTCCAACCATCCACACAACCACAGCCATGATATTTTGATTCATAAATTTAGCCATAAATTTCCTTTTAAAATATGAACTGTTGGAAGGTATGCAGTGCACATGTTTATATTTCCACATTTATTTTTATGGCACTGCTATGACTCCATGTCTATTTTAGTTACAGTTCTTCACCATTGAAAATCTGCCCGAAATGATGGATTGTATGTATGTAATCGTATTTATTTATTTTTATTTTGGATCACCTTGCAAAGTCAAAGGTAGTAAATGTTGTAATTATTAGTTAAGAGAACATTAATGACAAAAACAACAGAGATATGAAAGTGATATTTCTGTAACATTACAACAGATTTTCTCCCAAAAATTCTTAAGTAGCTTTAAATTTAAAACATAAATTATGAAAATGAATCATTTTCCACATTACGCAGGTCACCATATGACGGTTTGGACTCTGTATTTGCTTTTACTGACACTGAACTACAACATGACTTTAAAGCAATGATCTTAACAGAGTTACAGAGGTTATTAGTGGGCTCCATGAAACCTGATGGTAAACTGACACTGCACTGGTGGACCTCACTTCAAGGCTTAACAAGTCAAAAATATTGTGCGTATTGACACCTTCACGGTCACAGTCACTGGCCACTGTACTGACGAATGCTCTCAACTGAGCACGTCCATCTCTTTCTCCATGGCCTCCACATTGTTCTCCAGACTGTACGTGGCCCATTTGTTGAGCCTGCTGTACAGAGGCAGTCCGCTCTTCTCCCTGTAGAGGTAGACGCCGGTCACTCTGTTCCACTCAGTGCTGCAGATAGGACTAGCACTCTGGTGTTCAGCCAGCTGCTCCTTCTCCTCCTTCTCCAGTGCCACGAAGCCGAAGAAGCGCTTCACGTTCTCTGCGGCCAGGAGGTGGGCGTGGACCGCCGCCGTGCGCTGGAAGAGGTTATTCTCATTAGAGCGGTACTGGGACCAGTAGTCCTCCTGCAGGTAGCCCAGTGGAGAGGAGCAGCGCTTCATGCACAGGATCAGGAAGACCATCAGAGACATCCCTGCCACCAGCAGCCAGCCAATCAGCTGAAGACGACAGACAGAGGTGAAGTCAACACCTTGTGTAGGTTCTGGATAAGTTACAACATATAATGTATTATACCGCTACCTGTTGTGTGTGTGTGTGACCATCATCATCATCATCACCATCATCATCATCATCATCATCATCAAATGTCAGATAATCGATGAACTTGTCTTGACTACAGCTAATGGGCCTTTGTTGCATCTTTATTTCACTGTTGCCATCACACTCATCTCTCCTGCCATTCCCTCATTGTCCAGCTGTGTCCCCGGTGTTTTCCCGCTTTTCTGCATCACCTGACCTCCACATCAACCTGCACACCGGCTCCCAATTCCCTCCTTATCTCCGCAATAAGCCATAGTTCGCTGCCAGATCACTTGTTTTGCCTTCCATCTTTCTGTCCTGTTACCCCACCTGCCTTATTTTTCACCAACTACACTGTGAGATGAGCTTTTGAGTCCACGCCCTAGTTTGTTGTGGCACTTGACATGCCACAGCCTAACAGAGATCATCAACGTTAAAAGGAATCCTTAAGACAGTGGTTCCCAACCTGTGCGCCGTGTATTGCAAATGGGCCGACAAATCATATGCAAAACAGTACAACTTTGGTGAAAAGATGTAATTATTAAAAAAAAAAAATAGAAATACTGTTTTTAAATGTTTTAAAATGAAATGATCTAAAAACATTAAAATGTCATTGTTTCTTTTCTCATATTAAGGCCTATCACTGCGATAAGCCAAAGAACTTTGGACCACTTTGACACCGGATCACATCACAAACTTGTTTGCTTTCTCAGTCTGATAGCTGGTTAGCAACAGGAAGAGTCAAGAGACAGATGATGAATGAACAAGTGATCTCTCCTCTGTCAAACAGAAGAGGAAACATTGAGCTTCCTCTGCTTTCAGTTCAGTCCTGAAAGTTCAATCATTATCATTAAACTAATGAAAAAAAAAAAGATTTTCAAGTGGGCCATGAAATAGAAAAAGGTGGGAAACCAGTGCCATTAGATAATTCCACTCTGGGACTTGTCAACACCTGTAGTGACTCATAAATTGTAGGCAACTTGCAACGATACTTAAAATACCTAATTCTCTCTAACAGGGAGAAAAGAAGAGAAACTTGTAAAAAAAAAAAAAACCTCTCAGGTCACAGTGGAAACATACAGTATGTAGTAGTACATTACATAGATGATCATCCAGCAGTGGCATATTTGAGAGGAAAGAGGAGACGGGTTGTTTTTTTTCTCTTCAGTATCCAACATACATCATTTCCTCTATGTGGATACTTCATTTCTGGTTTCCTACTTTGTGGCAGAAATGTCAGATTACATTCAACCTGAGCAACAGAGCTGAACCCTTATATAAAATGCAAATGCACTGAGTGACTTTTGATACATCCCAGCACAGAAACAGTATGAAATATAACATTTGAAAAAGTGTTGCCAAGTGGTAGGTGTGCAAGCCCTCTGAGCCTCAACCTAATCCCTGACTGTATCTGGCAACCTGCACTATAGACGGAGACACTACTCCCCCAGCCTTGAGTCTTTGTGCTGTCCTCAACAGACACAAGAATGAGTGGTGTCAATCCTCTCACTGAGCTTTCGATAAGAAACAAACAGCATCCCTTTCCTGGGTTTTGACGGCAGATAAAATGGCTGCCACTGATTTTCTTCTTGGTATTTTAAATTTCCTGTTTGTGTGCGGCCATGGTAACTATAATCAATGCTAATTTTCAACTGAGGTCCACCAGCGGCCGTGGTGGTTGTGAAGCATATCCTGCAGTCCATATGTATTTTTACATTTTATAAGACACAAAAAATAAACCTCACTTTTTAAATCTGTCACAGTAAATTGTAGTAGTTTAAATGTAACTTATACTGTATATATACATATAATTACATATAATTGGATCAAAATTGTTAATCTTACTTCAATAATTTTCAACTTCACACTATTGACAATATAATCAGCAGGGTTATTGAGGTATAGATAGGTTATTATATAAAACTTTTTAGTTTTATTTAGTCAGTCATTTTTGTCTATAAGATAATATGATAATAATATTAACTAATGCATATATGAGTCAGATCTGAACTGATTCCAAACATTTTGTATCTTGAAAGATCTCATTGCTTTTGATTATTGTGACTGATTAATGTGAACTGAAATAACCCCAGAGGAAGATGTTATTCTACATATTTATGTACTCTATGCATATCTACACATACACTGTATTATCACATTTAAAACATTAGTTAAATTCATGACGTTACTCATTCGTATGATGTGATCATTTCCAGACTCCCTGTGTCCCTGACAGCATCACTGGCAGGTGAACATCTTTTTTTATGCCTGCGTGCCAGAGACAGTCAGAGCTGCAGGCAAATTGTATTCCATCCCATTCTCATGAACATGATATCTCAGTAATGCCTTAAGGGAACTTCTTTAAATTTGGCACAAACATTCACTAGGACTCAAAGATTAACTGATTAGATTTTGGTGGTCAAAGGTCAAAGGTCATGGTAACCGTGATCTCACATTCTTGTGAATGCAGTATATCAGGAACATCCAGAGGGAGCATTATCACTTCTGTCACACTGTGACCTCACAAAACACTTTTTGGCCGTAACTCACAAAATAATTCATTAATTATGACACAATTTAACTCAAATATCTATAAAGATGAAGTTAAGTGAAAACATTTCATATCCAAAAGGTCACCTTCTCTGTGACATCATAATGTTCTGCAAAAACATATCTGGCATCATTCAACGCTGTAACTCAGGAAGAAGAGACTGTGACCATATTTCCTGCAACTTGACTGGTTGGTGGAGGAAACAACAAGGGGATGGTGGTTCTAGTTTATTTTGACGCAACAGCTTAGTTAACCAAATTGATTTCATTCTCAGAAACAAACCTGTAAGCCATAAAAGCTACCAAGGCCCAGACCTCAGTGGTATCATACAGTGGTTACAGTGTCTAACAACGTCTATTGAACATGCAAGAGACAAAATCAAGACGGTCCTGCAAACGCAAAGCATGATGTACGCCATTACCTGAGATTCATATTTCAGTCGACGCTCAATTTCAGCCCAGAAGCCTTGTAGCTCTGCTGGGCCACTTGCTTGACATGGCAATTTTGCCATGACCTCTGACCCCTGATCTGAGGGGAAGTTCTCCAGTGTACTGCTGTTGACAAACTCACTGAGGGCGCATGTGTACACCTGGCCCTTCAACAAAGAGATGACCACCCACGTCAGTGGAGCCACAACAGCTCGACCAATGATGGTCCCCAGCAGCGCAAAGGCGCTGGCTCCCGACAGCTTTCGGCACTTCCTGAGCCGACACTCGAACACCAGGTCCCAGGTGCTCTTGTTCATCATTATTCCAACGAGGAAAAACGCCAGTGCTGGAACACCAATGGCAGCCAGGCCGTAGACGTAGTTCCTCCCAGACGCACACGGACAGTTAAAGGCGAACACGCTGTACGCAGTCTGACCGGCCACAGTCCCCAGAGCGATCAGACCATTGAAGATCATCACATCTTTACTCTTGAAGAAGAGGGACACAAACTTAAAGTTCTCTGTGACGAGTGCAGCAGCAGCCATGTTGGATCTTTACTGAGAATAAGACTTGAAGAGCTGTGTTTGGTTTACAACAACATCAGAGACACAGAGCTGCAGAGACACAAAGAGAAGAGAAATACATCAGACACTAAAAGTTTATGAGAGACTGCTTTGAATCTTACAGTCATCTGAAGTTTTGCAGGGATTGTTTTGTAATGAATGGTTTCAGTTCATTTGCAGAATATAAGTATTACACTGTTTATGGCATCAGTCAACAAAGACAGTTGAAAACATACTCAGATTAAAGACACTGGAAACAAAGAGGTACTATGAAATGCAGTCTTATGCAAACTCACGCAGTGGCAGAGTTCCTGAGGCGGGACATGTGACTCAGCCTTTATAATCCATTATAAACGTCCAATGCAATGAAATCTCAGGGAAAACTGTGGAGTCCACAACATAAAATCAACTTTAAACGTGTAAAAGAGAGATCCCTCTTTCGGCATGTTACTTTGAGCCTGTGATAGCGATGTCTGGGCACCAGTGATGACTCACAGTCAGGAACTGCCCTCCAGTTTCCTCCCAGTGGAAAAAAAAGGAAAAAATGTGGTGTGTAAGTGAAAACATGTGTTGGAAATCACAGAGGGTGGGGCAGCCCAGGAGCTGAGAGCCTATAGGAATCAGACATCAGTGTTATAGACACTGGGTTAGCTTCATTCAGACTTTCAATAAAGTTTTCGGAATTTTCTTTAAAAACAGTGTCTGTTAGAAAAGGAGCTGCTGTGTCTCTGCAGTGTGATGTGCAGGGGATGGATGGTCCATGATGGAGAGCAGTTTGTTCAGTCAGCTCCTGCTCCTCAGTGACTCAAACGTCTGCAGCAATCTCCACCAATGACGGATGAGTTCATTGATCCTGCTGTCTTCTCTGGCACAGATGCTCCTCCCCCTGCAGACGCGGCACAGGAGATGACTCTCACTACCACAGACTGGTTGAAGATCTCCAGCACCTCACTGCACACACCGAAACATCTGAGCTTCCTCTGAGAGTGGAGTCTGCTCATCCCCTGCTCATACACTGCTCATACACAGTGTCAGTGTTGTGTTGTCAGTCCAGTTTGTCTTTCAAGTAGGCACCCAAGTACAAATAGTGCTCCGCAACTCCAACCTCCTCACCCACAGTGGTAAACAGTTTGGTTATGGTTCTCCTCCACCTACAGACCAACGTCTCCTTGGTTTTACAGTCTTAATCTGAGAGATATCATATGGACATTCATTATCCCCAGTGGATGGATCCTACTGACTTTCCTTTGACCTTATTTCTGGCGCCAGCATGAAGTCAACATTTGTGGTTTTGAGTGAAATAACTGCTGGATGGATTCCCGTTATGCTTGTTACACACATTCACGTCCCTCTCAGGATGAATTGTAATAACTCTAATATTTGTTATAACTTTGGTGAGTCTCTGACCTTTCATCTAGCGCCACCACTGGGTCATAATCTCAGTGCCTCAGCTGTATTTTTTGTTTAGTGCTGATGTTAGCATGCTAGCACTCTAAGCTAAGATTGTGAACATCGTACCTGCTTCGTGGTACTACTTGGTGTAAGTACAGCCTCACAGAGCTGCTAGCATGACTGTAGACATTTAGTGTTGTTACTTTCATTCATTACGCATCTCTATATGCTGCTGTACTTGAATATGGATGATTTGTCATGCAACTCAAGCAGCCTCTTTGGAAATAACTGGAGACTTTCAGAGGTAAGTGAAGAGCTTTGACAATGAGAAAAATATTAATTGGTGGAAACAGTAGGAAGCCAACAACAAAATCTATCTCAGGTTTGCTGTCATTAACCACCATAACCACCATTAACTATAATTTACCAAATTAAATCAAATAAAAAACGTTTTTTATGTTCTGTTGCTCATGATTTCACACTTCCTTTGTAGGAGGAAGGAAGTGTATTCACCTTATACAGTTCGTATGGTAAATATGTTAGCAAAATATTTTATATTTTTACACCCAGCAGTTATGGAGAAACATGATCATTCATTTGCTAAGGAGTGGTGTTCGCTCCAGCATGTTCACTAGCTAGTCTCTCACTGTAGATACTGATAGCTGTTGTATTGTACAGTTAGTTTTCACATCTTTTTCTTTGAAAACTGCTGCAGTTGAAAACCAGGATGATGAGAGAGGAGTTTTGCAGGTTGGAAAACCAAAAACAATGAGCTAGAGGAGGCTGAATTGTTCCTCAGCGCTGACGGAAACTGCAGAGTTGGATATATTTCTCTGCCAGAGCAACGACTTACACATTTGGTTCATTGTTAATGTGAAACTATTTCATGTATTAATGAAATATAATTTTGTGAGTCTGTGAAGTTGTTTGGTTCCAGATGTCCATTTGCATGTTTCCATCAATCTGTGAGGGTGAACGCCATGTCAACAACCTTTATGCAAAACCAGCCAGTGCAAACCCTCACATATTCAAATGGCCCTCACAACCTGGTTTGGCCCTATGAGCAAATAAAGTAATCCTCAACACAAAAGATTCAAGTCAGAGACTAGCATGATAGCACATAACACATACATACATCTGGAGACATTTAGTGGTACAACACATGACATATTGTCTTTTGTTTTTCCACAGGAAATGATGTCATCACCACCACTGTCACTGTTCAGATGCTCTCTGGTGTCAGATGTGACTGTGCTGCTTTCTTTTCTGTCAGTCCACTGAGTCCTTTGACCTGTTCCCAGAGCAGGCTGTAACAGGTTTGGTGTGGTGTTCAAAGACGGCAGCTTGTACCTGCAGGGATACAGGGTTTGTACAGAGACATTTGTGTGGCTGTTTCTTTTATATTTGTGAGTCTAACATTTACATGTTCAGTCTTTGTTTCCTGAAAGCTTCTGGTTGACATGATGATTTATCGAGATTTGGGAGAGTGTCAGCTTGTCTAGAGGCCTTTGACACACTCTTGTGTTTGTACACCCACAGAGAGGTTAACATGTATCTCTATAGAAGCATGATTTCAGCTTGAGGACCATGTTGGGCCTAACAGCTCAACAGAAGCATCCACGGCCAACGCTGACCATCTCTGACAAGCTGTTATTGTCAGAAAGTAAAGATTTATTTCTATAGCAGCGTTTAAAACAAATGTTACAAAGTCTTTCACAAACAAAAAGCATCAAACAGACATAGGGGGTCAAACAGAGGTTGCTGTCAAACAGACTCTGGGGTCTGGTGAAAGCAAGACTGAACTTTTTTTTTACTTCTTCAAAACTACTTTTTCTTTAATTTGAGATAAAAGGTTGATTTGGAATAGGTTGACTGAGTACTGGCCAACTTGAAATAGTTAGAGACATAAGCAGAGACGATGCATTGACAATGACCAACAACCCTGGGCCAACAGTAACCAGAACCTGTTTAAAGAAGTTGGCAGGAAAGTTATCACAAAGACTGGAATAAGATACGGTGTTCAGAGAGATGCGAGCAAGCTGGGTTATTGTGACAGAATGGCTGCAAAGAGGGAGGGCATCTTTTAAAGCCAGTCAGTTGTGACAAATAAAAACCTCAGATTATTCCTGCTGACATCAATAAGCTTGTTAGAATAAGATGCTCTGATATTCTGGACTCTGGCATTAAAGCAGGTTAAAAGATCCTTCATGTGAAGGTAATGAACCTGCAACTTCTACTTTTTCTTGGACTTCTCATTAATCCAGGAGGAGAGATCAGCAGTATACTTCTTACTAGTCCTGTCTAATGTCATGAGGCTTAAGTAACATAAGTAACAAGAACTGTAAAAACTAGCCATCATCTTGCAGTGAGATCACTCCAGCCATGATGCCCGTCAACATGTTGACGTTCTGACTCATGAGTGCTGGGTGGTTATTTCTACATTATTACATGAGTACCCTTACATGCCAACCCGACGGGTCTGGCCAGACTTGAGCCAAGTCTCAAACAAATCCAGTTTATAAGAGATCATAAAACCAATTAGCTTTGTGGTTGTTTCACATTATTATTATTATTATTTTTTGGGGCATTTTGCCTTTATTTGAGACAGACTGGAAACAAGGGTAGAGAGTTAAGTCATGGAACAAGGCAGATGTTAGTTCCAAAGGCTTGAGAGTGATGACGTCATGTCACATGACCAACCACCGTGTCAAAGGTCATTGAGAAGGAGTCAGTGGATGACAGCAGAAAGACAGTATTCACATCTGACACCAGAGACAGAGGCTACTGTCTCCACCTATAAACAGCCCTGTTATCATGTGACCTAACGTTCACTATTGGGTCCTGTGATGACCGGTCCTGTGTCCATCAGCTGAAGGAAGATGGTGAGATACAGTTGAATACTCTGATTAATGAGTGAGTGGAGCTTTGACTTTAGACATCAGTCTGACTTTACCAAAGCTAAACTGAGGTAACCTACATCTAACTTGTTGCTATAGCTTCATGTAAGTGAACTGATGATCATGCACCGCTGAGTGTATCCTAGACATCAGAGTATAAAGTCTTCCCGTCACGGTCCTTCCAGGTAACGCAGGTCCTGGGTCTGTGGGCGATCCTCGTCACATCGAGTTCAGGTTTACTGTAGTACCACTTGTTGAGCAGCTGGTCCACCTGCTCCTGCTTTGTTACCCCATGGAGTCTCTCCTCTTCTTCATCCTCCCACTCATCCTGGAAGTTGCTGATGAAGGGCGGGTGTGGAAGACGGAGTATGGCATCCTCCCTCATGTCCTCAAAGAACTGCACCACACACTTCCGGGCAAAGTCGCGAGCATGTAGAACGCACGTTTCGTCGAAGAGCTTCTGCTCCACGTCCAGATAGTTGCTCCAGTAGCGTGTCTGCAGGCCGGTGGCGTGGTCGTCGAAATAGGGCTTGATGAGGCGTCCCATCGCTCCCAGTACAATGAGGAAGAGGAGGATGGACCAGCCCACTGCCTAGACAGGGTGAGGAAAGTTAGCTACACAAAGGCAACAAAAGCAAAAGGTCATGTGGTGCAGTGACTGTGATTGTGTGTGTGTGTGTGTGTGTGTGTGTGTGTGTGTGTGTGAGTGCATGTATATGTGCCTGCAGTCTCAGAGCAGCCACAAATACACAGCTTGTCATTTGATCTGAAAGTCAGTGTTTGTTTGGTTGAGGATGGGCACTATGTATATTGTATATTTGTATTTGTGTGTTTTCTCACACTTTTATCCTTTTGACCACAACATTAAGATTACAGACCTTAATCAAGGACTAAAGGAAAATCTAGTTCTGTTTGTTTAATTTATTTTCATTGCCTGTCATTGATTATATAGGTTATTTTTAAAGGATTAGTTTCACATTTTTCAAGTCCAATTCAAAACTATATTTGCATGCCCATATGTTCAATGAAAGCCGTATTGCCAGTAAAGGGGAATCATTTATTGTAATAAATAACACAATTCTTTCTGTAATAAAGCATCTTAAATCTAAAATCTTATCAGATGTGTGGATCCTGGGACAAAATCTTATCAGATGGGGGTCTGTGGTCTAATCCTGTGTCAGGTTAAGGGGCCTTGAAATGAAAAGGTTTGAGAACCACTGCTCTGTCTCCTGATTCTACCTGCACAAAGCATTTTATGATCAATATCTCTGCAACTGTTGAAACAGAATTAGTTCAGACGTGTGGTTTCAAAGAGTTTTTTCCACAGAAAGTTTCCACTGCAGGTCTTATATTCCCTTTTCATACCAAAAATAGGCGAAGCAAAACAAAACTTACATTTCTACCATGTTCATGTATCTGTAACTTTGGTTAAGTATCTCTTGTACTCATTCTGACTGTCTGGTTGTAAAATCATGACTGTGATCAAATGGATTGAAGAACAGTGACCTTTCATTTTGGGTTTATTATTTTTGGGCGTGTCTGGAAACAGGTTAGACACATCGCTACAGCAAAGTGAAAAGGGTCAGAAACATGAGACCTGGTTGGATAAAAAATCCCTGTTGTGTGTTCAGAATGGAACCACCATACATACTACTATTAGCCAAGAAAGTATTCAACATCTTTTGGCACTTTATATACCAGCTGATATTAGCTTATGGTTAATATATCTGTATCAGTAAACATGTCAGCTGATAACGAACAAGAAATGTTAGAAAAAGGTGCTTATATAAGAAAAATGAACATTGGCTGACAAATTGTTATCAGATTTTTTTAAACCTTCTAATACTGATATAAAAAAAACACTTAGGACCTTGTAAAACATACCTTATTATATTATCAATATTGTATTATATAGCCATATAGCTAGATATATGAGCTATAAGTTGACGTGACATCATTCTGAAGGTAAAGTGAGGAGTCATTGTACAGCACTTACGGCCAGTTTTTCTCTGTCAGTCACAATGAGACACAGTCTGCCTGAGAGCTTTGTCTCTTTGTGTCCACAGACTCAGTCTCTACAAAACCACTATTAACCTGTCATGTTATTTCTCTTTCTCAAACCTTTATCAGTCTGGGATGTGCGTTCATCCTGTATCTGACCAGACCAGGTGTGTGGAATAAACTGAAACTAAAGCCTGACCTGACTGATTTAAACTCTTCATGAGGATAAAAGATACGCCTGTGCGTATGTGACTGCGCCTGTCCGCTGAGGGTGGAGCAGCTTACTTGTGAATAGCAGCGGATATAACGAGACACTGCTTTGCGGAACGAGCTGTTCCTGAAGATGACGTCCTCCTTACAGGGAACTTTAGCCATGATCTTGATCACCTCCAGACCCGTGCTGTTGGGCAAACCTGAGGAAACACACCACACCATAAACCAGATTGTTGTGATAATACTTACTGAATGTGTATTTCTCTATGGGGGATGTGGGATGTATTTGCAGGTACCTGAGAAGAGTGCAGGGTCTACACTCACACTGAAGGCACAGATGAAGATCTTTCCATCCAGCAACGTGACCAGGATCCACACCATTGGGGCCAGCAGGGCCCTCTGGAGCATGGCGGAGAACAGGTACCTGCAGGACGACAGACATGGAACCTCATGTTCTCTTCAGCTTCACCCTAAAATGTCTAAATAGTTTGGGATTCATTTATATATAGATAGATTATAATTAATCTAAATAGATAAATACATAAGGGAAACACTGTATCATATGTAGGAAATATACATTTGCAAAAAGTCATTTTAGTCAGTGTTACCGGCTCATGCTATGACAAATAACAGGGACAGACACCAAGTTTAAGTTTGTGAAACTAAGATTTAATGAGGAAAATAACATAATGTGTGCCAATCAGTGGAGTTAGTATCTGTGTCAGTGGATGCATGGAAGGTTTGTTGTGGTGGAATAAATAAAGCAGCAAGCAAACAGATGTGGTGCATAAGAGAGTCCCTTCATCTCCATGTTCTCCCCTTCAGACCGGTCATTCTCCATCCGACCATCAGATGTCCACAGACTTTTTTTTTCTTGTTTGCTGTTCCACTTCTCCAATCACCCTGCTTCCCTCCCCACCCACACACCTGAACATCAGCTCCCTCATCAGCAAAGCCACGATTAAATCTCCCATTTTCATCAGCTCTTTGTTGGATCATCCGCTTATATTTCCGCTTATGTCCCCTCGTGTTTTTCCTGGTTTCCTGCCACGGACAGCGTTATCCTGTTGTTTGTTCCTGCCTGTCCCTGCCTCCTATCTGTCTGCAGGCCTGTTTTTCACCATTAAAGTATTTTCAAGTTTCTTCAATGGCCGTTGAGTCTCCATCTGGATCTTCCCTGCCTGTGCTGCCTCCATCAGCTGTGAAGACAATGGAAGAAGCCTAGAAAAGCTCCTTTTTTTAAGTTGTCAGCTGCACAGCCGTGGTCTCACCTAAACCTGTCCAACCACCCTGTCAAAACAGCTCACTGTTGCTTTGGCAAACTCACTCTTGGCCAAATTAACTGTGAGATGTGCTGCAGCCAGGCACTCAAACAGCGAGCAAATGTGATATACACTATCTACAGCACACCCCTCCGGCCCATCGATGACTATATTCATCAGCTGCTGAATTGTTGGGGGGCTTTCTGCAAACCAAAAGACGCGAGTGCAGTCCTGATGGTGTGATGAAAGCAGGGTCTCCATTACCTGAGAGCTACAACATGAACAAATACTCACAACCACCAACAACAGGCCAAGGGGACATCACACAGTCAGTTTGCTAAATTTGGCAGTGGGCTATCTATAGTGCATGAATACTGGATTTAACCCTTACATACTGTTCATATATCATGCCTTCACAGTATGGACCCAAGAATTCCCATGAGTATGGAGTACTCATGTAATACTGTCATAATGAGTACTCATGAGTTGGATCGTCGCGGCTGGTGTGATCCCATCTCAAGATGATCTCTAGTTTATCTATATTTTCATCTTCCCAATGACTGTCTCAAACACTGGGGTCCAAAGGTCTGAGACCACTTTCCCATTGAAGTGAATGTCACGTGCAAAGAAACACAGTGAAATTCTTAAGTTGCAGTTACACTGGAATAGACTTGCAAAATACAATAATAAAGACAAGTAATGGCATAAATCTCCTGACTGAGCTGCACAGTTTAATGTTTGAATGATATTTGTAGCACTGATTGTTGTGCTATAAAGATGGATTGATCTTAAAAAACTGTATGGAAACAAGATCGCGGAACAGAAGAACAACAGTGTTGCCAGCAAATGACTGTCTATAAAGTCATGTGACATCATACATATTCAAATAACTCAGGTTGTGCCATAAAATGGTGTCAGTTAATCGCTTGTGCCTCAGACTACAGGAAAAGGATTCGGTCTCTAACTCCATCTTCATTATAAGTGAGAATAGACTGAATGAGGATAATTAATAATGGCTTTCACCTGCAATTCCTATGAGCATTGCTGAGTATCAATGATACTAATAGTTTCAATTCACTGTACACTGTGTAATGGTAAGAGCTGTTTGTCTTAGTAGATGAAAGAAGTAAATCTTCTTTGACTCACTTCACCACAGCAGGGTTCTTGGATCTGTTCCCAGTGGGTCTCATCCACTCGTCCATCATGACGCCTGTATGTCTGTTGACCAGGACCCCCAGGAAGAACAGGATGATGGGCGGGACGATCATCACCCCCAGGGAGTACAGCTTGTTGTACTGAGGGAGACAGGGGCAGTTAAAGTCGAAGCTGGTGTAGAGCTTGACGCTGACCAAAGCCAGGATGATACAGATCCCGTTGGAGATGGACTCAGAGTTGGACTGGAAGTACTGCAGGACTAACTTCAGACGCTCCATAGTTTTAATCAATAATTAGTAATTCCTCGTGTTACAAAGTGTTTTAGCTTTTGTTTTTGGCTTTTAAGAAGAAACTGTGTAGATCCAGGCTGATTTTAAATCCCAAACCTTTCACCGTACCTCACAATACGAACCGTTCCCTCCTGAGGAAAAGTCTGAAATCCACAGGTTAACAGTGTCAGTGAACAACCTGAGTCCTGCAGTGGTCCAGGGAGAGTCTGAGAATGCATGAACACACCTGAGCAGGTGACAGAGCCGTGTGGCCACACCCTGTCTCACTGTTAAAGGCTTAAAGGAGCCACGGCAGGACGGCCCTGGAAGGATGTATTGTAGTCATGACTGGGCCTCAAATGCAACATCAAAGCAAATGGGACTGTACAGTAAACACACCACCACACACTGCTGCCTCTGGGCTAGCTTTCAAAAAGAGACTTTTGGTAGAGCTGTCTGTGTTTTACTCTTCTGTCCATGATGACATCAGAGTGGGATGTAAGGAGTGAATCTCTGATGTCTTAATGAAGAGGGACAGGATGTTTTTTGTGATTTATTTTGAAAGGACAGTTGCTTCTGTATATGTAACATTCCACTCTCATATCTTTAACTGTGTAGGTGTATTTTCAAATTAAAGTTCTGACTAGTTTTTCATTGTCCGTGTCACCCAGAAGTCTGAGTTGTCAGGCCGACAAGATCACTGTAAACCAGGGGTCTCCAACATGTGCCTCGCTAGCTCCCAGTAGTACACCCCCACCCCCACCTCTTCAACACCTAATCGTAGTCAGTGAAATGAGTTACTGTCACGTTTGTTGACATCAGATCAGCTGGAGGCGACGTGCAGTGATATCAACTCTTCTAATAACAGAACAGATATAAACTAAACTTTTCAGGAAATATGTTGCCATGGATACAGTAAGTTAAGCTGTGGGCTTCAACTTGAGCCCTGTTTTTCCTTTTCACCCATTTGTTTACATTTGATCTATTCTAAGTTTGTGTTTGTTATCTGATGTCTGACGTAAGTTTCAGATGTTTTTGGATATTGATATTTGATGACTTGATAAATGATCATATTGATCTGATTTGTTTGAAGAGAAAGAGAAAACGTATCTGCATCACAGAACCAATGCAATTTAAAGTGCACTGGCACAGGCCTAAAGAGGAGATTTCTACTCAGTGTAGATCAGAACCCGCCAGGATTTGTTGATATCTGATCCAGGACAACAACTAACAATTACTTTTTATTAATCTGTCAGTTACTTTTTAGACTTTATAATGATGTGCTTTTAATTATGTCCAAAAACAGTGAAAATACTTTTAGTAAAGGCTGGAGAAAAAAATAATAGGAACTTATGAAATCATAGTTTATTTATATAAAAAGACATGACAGAACATGTATGCTTGAATGGCATGAAAGTGCTTTGATTACAACATTGTTAAAGACAAATAAAGATCTGTTTTGAATGGCCACATAAAAATCAAAGGGTCTAATCTGACTAGATCCATGTTAAACGGTCAGAGGAGAGTAAGTGAGGCCAGGAGAAGACGTCTCTCTTACCCAAAAATAATCATCTGTGTGAATGTAGGAGTCAGGTCCTATGATCGTCTTAATGCCACTGACAGGGAGAAAACTTTTTTCTTTATCTTTCAGTACGGAAATGATTCAATCCCAATGACAGCCTTCAATAACCACAGTGTCAGTCAAATATGAAGAAGGTCCAGCGTTTCAACGCCAGTGACTTACAGTATGCTCAACACCAAAACAGTACAACACAAAAAGCTTATTAAACAATACTATGAAGCCAGTTAACGTAAAAGACAAAACAAAAAAACTATTTAAAGTCTACAAACAGCAGTTTCAGGATATTTTCTTTTTCAGTCTCTACCACAGGTGTCAGCAGCTGTGAGTCGTATGATGCAGCTTTAGCTTTTTTTTTTTTTTTTTTTTCCTCTCTCTGAAGGACTCTGGTCAGAAGTTCACATATGAATATTTCAAGTGTTCTCAGGTCAGTGTGATCTCCGACGACTCTTTGGCATCGATCACTCTGAAGACTCCCACCTTCTCCTTTTTCACACGCGCCTTCTCTTTGTCTGAAAATACAAAAAGATGCCAAAACATAATGAGTAGGATTTTAAAAATCACTTCTAAAACCGACTGGCAGGTTAAAGACTTTACGAGACGAGTGATATGGTCCATTTTCTTGCTTTTTAAAAAGGCCGTTACAGTCGTCTAATGGGGGGTTGAAGGTGTGTATGTAAGGATGTGAAGAGAGCGGATGCTTCGGCACCAAGCCAGGAAGTACTGTCACCAACAGAGACAAAACACCTATCTGATAAGTAGGAGTTAAACCACTTCAAGGCTGTGCTGCAGTGTATCAGTACACTGTGCTCAACTGTGTCGAAGGCTGCAGACAAATCTAACAATGAGGACAATGTCTGCAGTCCTTAAAAGATTGTTTATTACCCTAATAAGCAGAATCTCAGTGCTGCGGGACTGAAACTTTTCATGATGCGTTACCTTTCAGGACTTTTAGGAGTTGTGTTTTTCAGAATTTACACAATAAAAAGGTGATTTAGAGACTAGTCTGTATTTGTTTGCAACAGGGGACAGCAGAATCCAGCTCCACAGTGGAAGTGATACATGGTTGATGTACTCCCTTTCAACAGAGATTTTCTGACTCAACTGAACACAGCTGTTGCATCCAGATGTGGGGATTAGAGGTGGCATGATGTCAGTACTAGCAACTGAAGTCCACTGAAGATCCACGACTGAAAAATTTCAGCTGGCTCAGGAAGTAAGGTGCCCACTTAGCTAAGCTAAAAACAATACTAGTGGTAGGTAACGTCACTATGTAGAGTCTCCAACATGTGCTTTAAACTGAAAACCCTTTTGTGATGGTGGATCTCTGCATAAAGACACAACTCTGCTAGAATGACTGTGGTTCCTGGGGCTCCACAGGATGTGGAACTATTTGATTGAAAAGTGCTATTGGAGACAAATATCTCATTTTCTCTGCACAATAAATCCTAACTGTCTGCTTGGATAAATAGCATGAGACTAGTGAGAAGGTGTTTTTGGGCATTGGATGAACAAGCCCTTTAAACGTATTTCAGCTTTGTTAAATGAATTAAAAACATTTACTGGAAAATGGGATATTTCTGACCAGGAACAGGAGCATGTAGCTGTGCAGCTCAACATGAGAGAAACAAACACAGTTTCCTGTACACCTCATCACATGGTTCAGTTTAGTGTATTTAACCAAACATGTTTTGACATTGTCTCTTGCAAACAGCAAGGCCTTCCATCTAAAGACTGAAGGTGGATTCTGTAAATGAAGGGTCTTGAGGTTTAAAACACAAAGCATGATCCTTTGTTGATAACTGTACACACTGTTGTTGGAGCCTAAATAAACTAAACTGCAGAGGTGTGTGTCTCCTCACCCAGTAAGTCGCTGCGATCCAGCAAAATCTCCAGGTCCTTGTCACTGATCACCTTACCCTTGGATGCTTTCACCTCCCTGAGTGAGACAAAGGTTGACAGCCAGATGTTACTCCCCCCTCACTGTGTTGTTTAAAGACACTTGTTGGAGTGGAGGATCATGTCTTACTTCTCTGGGCCTCTGGCTTTGAGCAGGTCCATCAGCTCATCCAGATCAATGCAGCTTTTACCTTGGTTCAGCTCGGCCCTTCTGCCTTTGAACTTATCTGTGGAGGGAAGCAACAAAAGGAAAGAGAACGATCATCAGAAGAGGACGCTTGGAAAATATTCTGCAGAGCATGAGATGGGGGTGCGTTGTGCAGGTTCTCCCATTAAAGTGAAGCTACTCACTCTTGTGAATGATCATCTGCTCCAGCTTCCTCTTGGCCGACGCCCTCTCCAAGGTCTTCTGGTCAATGGTGTTGGCTGTGACCAGGCGGTACACCACGACTGGTTTGGTCTGACCAATGCGGTGACAGCGGTCCTGGGCCTGCAGGTCAGCCTGGGGGTTCTGAGAGGGGCAGGTGGCATCAGCACACACCGACTTAACACAGGAAACTGTACAGGTAACACACGGTAACAGTGTTTATTATCGTCCATCTTTTTTAATTTTGCACCCACCCAGTCGCTGTCGAAGATGATGACTGTATCAGCAGCTGTCAGGTTGATCCCAAGTCCTCCTGCTCTGGTGCTCAGCAGGAACAGGAACACCTCTGGATCAGTGGAGAACTTGACCATCTGAGGGAGAACAACAACATGATGAAGGAGAAGCAAGAATGTGTTGTAGTTCTAACAAATGAGGAAATTACACAGAAGTCTCTTTAATTGGTGTGGTAGCCAGATAACAGGAAAATGGTGAACGACGACAGTGCAGTGATTCCTTATCTAGTTGCCTCTGCTGGAAGTCCAAACACAACTCATCAACATTAAGAACCTCAGCAGATGCTACTGACTGTGAAAAGGTTAAAGTAAAACCTAATGTGTGAGTTGTATTCAGACTCTCAGGGAACCTGTTTGGACAGCACCGACAACAGATGAGGACGATTTCACTTGTCTCATATCGCACCCATCAATATATACTCACTGTACCCATCTGATCAGCTCTCTCAACTTTAACACCACTTATTATCAGTTATTATTATTATTATTATTATTATTTGTGTTAATCATTTCTCTGTGGAGATACAGGGCTTGGGGATGTTCAAAAGTGACAACAGTTCCCTGAGGTCAGCAGCTTTCTTGCCTGCCGCTGTGTCTTAGAGTGACATACAGGGCTGGGTGAACTTTTTTTTTTTTTTAGATCCGATACCAAGTAATACAGGGCCGGAACTTTCATATCGATACTGATCTTTATTTAGTACTAAAAGCAGCTTACGTATTTTCATGTAGGGAAGAGGAGTGTCATGATTTATGAGGTTTATGCATCATCAATAGACTAAATCTTAATACATTTTAATGATCACTAAATGATTTGCCAAAAGTTCTCAATCATTTTAAGGATGGTAGAATTTATACCTGCCATGTGTGAGACCTGGGTTTGACTCCCAGCTGAAGCAAGTGTGCAGCAAGTGAAGCAGAACAAAAAGTGGCTTCATTCATTCATGCAGCACTTTGTAAAAACAAAAAAATTTAAAAAAAAAGTGCTCAATGGAGGACGATGATGCTCCTCGTTCACTCAGCCATCACTGGCTCAGATAGTTAGGGTGCGCTGTGCTGTGTGCTTATGTTCATGTTTGAGTGCACACAACATGACAACAACTAACTCCTAACAACGCTGGGATCGATCTTCCAAAACGTTCATACTATCTGTTGTGTTGATATTTTGCCCACCCCTCATGTCATCTCTGTCCGAATGGGCTGAATATACTCAGAGCCAATCACAGTGCACTCCAGTCTACACAACGTAAAGCATTTCTGCACCGTCATCATCAACTCATTGTTTAAAACTCACATTTTCATCTCTGTCTGTGTAGGACATTTTGCCATCCAGCCGGCTGTACTGGAAGCCCCGCAGATAGCAGTAGTCCACCAGGATATCCAAGATGGACGTCATCTGACTGAAGATCAGAACCTGGATCACATCAATCAATCACACATACATGTCAGGAAGAAACCAAAGGCTAAAAGACCCTTTACTGTAGAGTTCAGATGGATAAACATGTCTGTGATCCCACAACTGTATGTTACAGTTTGAATTTTAATAACAAAAAAATATATAAAGCTACAACTGGATCATGAAACTCAGACTGACAGTCACATTGTTTTAATCAAGCCAATAACTGTTGATTGATTGATTAATAATGGAAGCTGGTCTATTCAGCTCTGTGGTTATTAGTTGTACAGCTGCAGGATGCTTTTACAAAATTCTGTGCGTGCATTTTCAACTGGACGTTTTTCTAATTGGTGAAAACCTGAGCAGGGCTGCTACTCATATTAGTCTGAAATCTGATGAAGTGACATGTTTGGGCACAGGTGTCCTGTCTCACCTTGTGGCCTCTTTTCTTCAGTTCAGGCAGCAGTCTGTCCAGTATGAGGAACTTCCCTGAGCTCCGCACCAGCTCCTCATCAATCTGTGCAGAGGAGAGCAGGGAGGACAAGACGTGAAGAAGACCTTTGATCTGTTTGACTATAAACTGTACCACTTCTGCTCCTAATCACAAACAACAATACCAAGTGTAAGTGACTGTGCGTTACCTTGAACTCCTGGGTAGCGGGGTCGAGGGGGTACTCCACCAGGTAGGGGTGGTTGCAGCATCTCTTTAGCAGCATGAGGATGTTCTGCAGCTTCAGGTGGATGTGAGCGTCCAGCGGGCTCTGCACGTTCAGCACTGGAATAAGGCTGCAGGAGGCGTGTGAGCAGATACAAGTCAGACTGATACACAGTCACAGGTTGTGTCTTTCATGCAATCATGAAGGAGGATTTTATAGAGGACATTCATCATCATCATTCATTCATCTGAATGTGTGCGTGCAGTGCTGACCTCAGCTCCACGTCCTTGCGGACACTGTCCAGGTATTTCTCCAGGTCCTTCGGCGAGTCTGTGTCTGTTTCTTTGTAGTTCACCACCTTTCGACTGCGCCGCTTTGGCCTGCTGTTCGACATCAGCTCCACAGGATCCTCTGTCTGAATAAACCAGGAGAGCACCGATACCATCATTAATCCTCATGTCATCATACTGCTCAAATAAGGCCAGGCAGGTTTATTTCTACAGCACCTTTCAATGACATGATGATTAAAAGTGCTCTCACACATAGAAAGACGTTAGACATACTAGCAGCATTTCCTCTTGGACTTTTTTCAGCAGCATAAGCAGCCCCCTCCCCCACCCCCAGCAGTTGAATTGAATATCATCTAACTTTAAGGGGCGATGTGTACGTTTTCTCTGCTGTCAACATGGTTTTGCTTAATGCCTCCGGCCATGGCTGTCACCTGTGCAGAGGCAGACCCTGACACCACATCTGTGAATGCAACATGGTGTTACCTTCTCCTGGCCCAGCATCTTGGTGATGGTGTTGTTGACCACAGCGGTGTAAAAGGTCTCCTGTTTAGGCGTCAGAGGAGCGTAAACGATGATCTCCTTCTTGGGAGGAACCTCCAGGGTCACGTCTGATTTCAGCCTTCTCAGCAAGAACGGAGTCAGAATCTGAAACAACATTAAACTTTTAGGACAGGCAGGTTTGTTCACGACTTGATGAAAAAAAGTCTCCGGAAGTGTAAATGACATACAGGGAAAAACAACTGTATGGTCTAACACCAAACGAGCTACTGACAGAGTCAGAGTCAAACAGTGAGACATCATATTAAACACGTGCATTATAATTCATACATTATATCATGGCGGTGATTTGGAGGACTGACCTGGTGCAACATGCTCAGAACGTTCTGCTCGCGCTCGGTAGCCACCACACTCTCAGCCTCCCCGAGGGTGTTGATGTCAAACCACGACTCAAAGCTGCACAGAAACAAAGAGAGGTTACACCTGAGTCATGACTGAAACCTGAACAATTAACAAGATAAAGGAAACAGAAGTGTCACATCTAGTTACAGGTCTACAGTAGGTATGTGGCTTTACTGACACTGATTTACACGAGAAGAGGAGAGAGCTGCATTTGCACGTTTGATTAGCTGTAGCTGTTATCAGCCGCCTGAATGACATGTCAGACTGTGATGGATGGGTTTACTGAAGTCTTTGTCCAACTCAGACTGTGAGATGAACATCTGATTGATAGTACTGTGGCACTACCATGTAAATAGTGGGGGTCAACTGATTCGCGCCTCTGATATTCAACATTTTTACGATTATCTGAATCATCACTTTTTTAATCCGATTGCAGATAAAATGTATCAATTTTTGAAACTTTTCTTCTTTAGCTCTGATGCAGCGGCCTCTCTGTCTGTGGTCACCACTCACACTCTCATTATGTATTTGACCTTGGTGGACAATAAAGATATATTCCATTCTATTTTAAACTCCTTAATTGAGTGTAAATAAAAAAAACTCTGCATTTGCCTATAACTAGACATAGCGAGAAGTCCTGGCATTTAATGTTTCATTACAAATTTTCTATATCTGTCCATCAGTCTTACTTCCTGGTTTTCCTGTTTGTGTAGTCTGTCCATTAACTTGATCCAATAATGAATAAAAAACTAAATATGGATGAGATGATGATGAGTTATTTAAATGAAACTTTTCTGAGAGGTCCAAAGTCTGCAGTCAGTCTGTAAGCTGAGCAGCTGCAGCAGAACTGATCACAAATCACCTCTTGAGGTCATCAAAGACCTCTGGCAGGAGGAAGTTGAGGAGGGACCAGAGCTCAGCCAGGTTGTTCTGCAGTGGTGTGCCTGTCAGCAGCAGCTTGTTGTCGGTGGGAAACATCTTCAGCTCCCGCACCAGGCGACAGTTGAGGTTTTTGATGCGGTGACCTTCGTCCACGATCAGATACTTCCACTGGAAACGCTGCAGCAGACAACAGACGCGGCCTGGCTTCTTATACAACACTTATGACAAACAAATGCACACCCGAGAAGATGAACTAAAAACCTTTTGAGAGAATAAACATCTGACTTTTGTTGTAAATCATTGGCTTTACCATAAAAACATTTTAAAAATCAATAAATGTTAAAAGAACTGAAAATGTTGAGAAATGCACTTTTTGCTTTGCTTGTTTTTCCAGCCATATCCAGTTTCAAAAGGCAAAGCCAATAATGTACAATAAAAGTCAAAGGTCTAAGCTCTCAAATGGTTTTTATTCCATTGTTTCTATCTGCTTCAGGTTTTAGGAGCTTGTGTTCAAACAATGCTTAGGTAGCAGAACATTTTTTTTTTTAAGAGGGCACTGTAGAGCTTAACGGGTTAATTGTAAGTATGATGATTTCTCTGTTCACCTCGGCCTCAGAGCTCGTATCTGAAACAGAAACTGGTCTGTTTCCTGATCAACGCCAACTGAAAACGTCCTCCACTTTCACCTGTTGTCTTGATAAATTCTGTGTAAATGTACATTTCCACAGCACTATTATATCATCATCATATATCATATCACCCAAAGTCACACACTTTCAGATTTTACTGAGAGTGGCACAAAGAATTAAAATAATGTATGATGATTTACATTTTCACAACCTCTCGTTGATACAAAACTACAATTATCTGAAATATATTTGTTCCCTGTGAAACCTGCATCAGTCACATTTGTGCTGCTACAATACCTGTTCACTGGTTTGATAAAGGAGGAGCAGGAATCCTACCTGGAGGAATTTTCTGTCAATCATAGCGATCTCAAAGGAGGTGACGACCACGGGATACATGCTGAGGGGCCCCTGAGGCCTGCGGATCTGCTTCAGCAGCTTGGCCCTCTCTGGCTGGGGGCCGTGGTAAAGCAGTACAGACACCTGGGACAAACACACGAGTCTGCTCAGACCACTGAGAAATCACTTGGATGGGGTGTGACGTTAGTTTAGTCAACAGTAAGATGTAGAGTCAAATCTAGGATTTAGCGGTTTAATGACTCTGGTCTTCACTGCTGAAGCGTCTGTGTTTCAGGGACCAGTCAGACCTGATGAGACCAGGCTCATCTCAGTAACTCGTCCTCTCACCTCGGGTGTGAAGCGCTTGAATTCGTTAATCCAGTTGGACAGGGTGGAGAGAGGGGCGACCACCAGGAAGGGCCCCATCACTTTCTTTTCTATCATCATGGCGATGTGACCGATGCACTGGATGGTCTTTCCCAGTCCCATCTCATCAGCCAGGATCCCGTTGATGCCGTTCTCCCACAACATCTGGAAGAACATCAGGGAAGAACACGGGCTGGTTGTTGGGAGGAGGGCTTATAATATAATTATATTGTTGTTTTATATTTGAGTTGTTTTTTGTTTTTTTTTAAATTATATTATATTTTACTGCTGAAAATATTCTGTACATTTAAACAGATATTGGATTGTTTTGGTGGGCAGCAGCACATAGCTCTGCTAGTGTACTGGTGCTCCTGGCTGCTTCTCTAAACCGGCAGCGCACTGATCTGAATCTACTGCAGGTAACACACTGGCTATGCATGACTACCTCACTCAACCCCACATCAAATAACCTGAACTATTCCTTTAAGGCAACGTGGGTGTCCTTAAAGTGCTCAGGAAATAACATCTACAACTTCTGAGGAAAGATTATGTTACATGATCTACTAAATGGATTTTAAGGTGAGTCAGTTTTGTCAAGTGCAGTTTCCAAGGCCAAGAATCAACTCTGAAACTCAACTTCATGTTTCATCTGTAAATCTGTAAAGTCAACTAACTGGAAAACGAATGAATGAATGAATAATCAGGTTCCACGATCTCTTGTTGGTCAAGCCCGACTCACCCTCAGCCACTCGATGCCTTCAATCTGGTACCACCTCATGACCCCTCCAGTGAAGAGCTGTGGCTGATGGATGGGGACCGGCTCGCCGTTCACCTTCCTCTGAGGATCCAGCAGCTGCTTGGCGTTGTCTCGCACCGTCTCCGACAGACGGTTCTTGATGTCTTGGTTGGAATCGCTCATCTTCTCGATATCCTCAGCTTCTAGTTTTTTCTGGGCCGGCCCCTCGTCCTAATATCAGATGGTTGATATTTAGATGTATGTTTGAACTCACTCACCCCCCTTTCTGGATTACTAAAATGTATTGACATGTCATGTACCCAGAAAAATAAAACAATCCCTTACCCCTTCCTCCACTTTTGCTTTCTTAGCTTGCGACATGATTTCCTGGAAGACAAGATCAAGCAGAACCAGTATGAGCCCACTAGTAAACGGCAAATGTAGAGAATGGACAAAAAGTCAAATCAGATCTTACTTCTTTCGACATGACATCTGATATTTTGTAGTCATCATCCCTCCTCCTCTTCTTTTTATCTAGTTCGACAGGAAATAGTCAAATACATCACACACTGAAAATACGTCATTCTGTGTTTAATAAAAGATCAAATGTCAGGATCTACTCACCTTTTTCAGGTTCTGCACATTTGGTGCCCTGCGTCTGAAAGACAAACAGCTTTCTATCAATGACTTAAAGTTATGCTAATGCTTAGCTCAGGTGTTTGTTCAGTAAAACGCTCCTCACCTTCTTGGGCTTCTTCTCCAGTCTCTCCTTCCTGAGTTTCTCCTGAAATGTTTGAACAGAAAACAGAGTGTGAGCATTTGCAGGCAGCAAGTACAAACACAGTTTCACATGTGGCGTTCATACACACACTCACACACTACCTCATTCTGTTGTTGCTCCATTTTAGTCAGCAGGAATTTGGAGTAGATGTTGCTCTTCTGAAGCAGATGCTGCAGCCTCTTAAAGCGCATGTCGTGAGAATCCCTCTGCCACGATTCGCGGGCCTTAACGAGCACATGTTTCAGACAGACCACAGGGTTAGACAAGATCTCAACAGTTGATATCATGTGATTTTTTGCACCTATAACAAAATTACACATTTTTTCAATACTTAAAGCTACAATATGCAACTTTTTTCTGATATTTTTTTTAGTTGAAATTTGCTCCAAAACATTTCTTCATGTGCTGATGTTCTGTAAAAGACTGCAGTGGCCCAGACTCATTGAACAGCCTGGTAACAGTGCAGACATATTCCCTTTTGAAGTTTTTGAGTGAGCCTCGCTCTTGTAACCAATCAGAGTAGGCCAAGGTCAGAGGCGACCAGAAGCTCATCTACTGATTGACTGCTGTCAATCAGTAGATGAGCTTCTGGTCTACCACTCCTCACGCACCGAGGCTTCAAACCAGTATTAGCTGTTGGAACACGTCGCTATGGCTAAGCTCCTGGGTCCGGTTGCACTTAAGTATGACACTTAAGTAACTCCCTCAGCTAAAGAGAGATTAAACCTTAAGGGTGTTGAAAAACTCTTAAAAGGTTGATTTTCTTCATTTATTGCCATATACTTGGTCACGCTGCAGTTAAGATAGAGAGGTACCTTTGGTTGCTAAGGTTTTTTGTGTGACAGTTTAACTGACTTTAAGTGATTCCTTATTTATAAGACTAAGATAAGGAGAAAACCTCAAATACTTACGTGAACATTTTAAGGAAACCTTAACTCGGACTTTAAGGAAAATCTTAACTTAAGGTGATTTGTGCAACCAGTCCCTGATTGCTGCATTAGCTGAGACAGTGAAGAAGATGAGGATGTAGGTGAGGGGCTGGGCATTGCTTAGAGGGAGCGCAGGGAGAGGGAGGGGTGGGAGGAGCGGGGTGGTCCCAAGCCTAGACATGAAAAAAAAAANACCAGTCCCTGATTGCTGCATTAGCTGAGACAGTGAAGAAGATGAGGATGTAGGTGAGGGGCTGGGCATTGCTTAGAGGGAGTGCAGGGAGAGGGAGGGGTGGGAGGAGCGGGGTGGTCCCAAGCCTAGACATGAAAAAAAAAAAAAAAAAAAAAAAAAAAAAGAAAAGAAACAGACCTGTTCCATCATCTCCTTCTCTTTCCTCTCGCCTTCCTTCATCAGCTGCTTCTCTTCTTCCTCCATTTCTTTTGTGATAACCACCTCAGAAGTCACATTCTCAGATTTCACACTGACATCTTCAAAGAAACAACAGTGATAGTCAAGATGGTGGCTGGTCCCATACCCCCACGTAGAAACAGTTTCACTTCTTTTCAAACTTGATCAACTTTCATAAAATTAATGCAGATTAATAACACAACAGCAACTCTTCATGAATCAAACTTAGATTAGCTGAAGCGAATTGGCCAGTGAGCTCCTCTTGGGGGTCACAGGCTGGAGTCCTTTGTCACTGACCTTTGGCAGCTTCAGTCTCCATGGCGGTGCCCAGAGGCTCCTCTGGTTCATCTGGTTTGGGGCAGTGAGGGGAGGCACTGCGACTTCCTTCCTTCACACTGTAAGCATGAGGAGGAACACAATGAAATCCAGAAGGTGAATATTTCATGCTGGTTTTACATGGGCAGGAGAACGTGCACTCACATGTTTGACATCTTTTAAATCTGCAAAGCATTCATGCTGTAACAGGAACAGTGGAGGAGTTACACTTGCATTTACAACACACATGGAGTATGCAGTATATATAGACATTATATTGTATATTTTAACATGTAGTGTGACATATATAAATGTATAAATAGGTAAATAAATGATTTCAGTATTTACGCACCAGACTTTCTAACAAAGCAAAGAAGGCCTTCAGCATTCATACTTTCATGTTAGGAAATTAAATGAACAGTGTGTAAATAAAACATGAACAATGTAAATAAAGACATGAATCCTTCCTACATATAGTGGTTCATTCTTAAACACGAGTTATCTCACATTGTTGTTACACTGACAAACATGTTGTGATGTTGTATAACATGCAATTTACAAACACGATTATTTCACTCACCTGCTCGTTGTTTCCATTAGTGAACCAGACGATAGGGCTAATGTAGTTAATTGAAGGTTTAGATGTTACAAAAAGAAAAGTTATTCTTACTCAACACAATAATGACTTATTGCGAGTTACACAGGCGAGTTATTCAAGCAGTTATAAAACTAAATTTGCGAAGCAATCTGTGACCGAGCCAGCGAGCAAACACACGATAGTGTGGTAGCAGTAGTAGTTTCTGCACGTGCAGGACCGTAGTTATCCCAATATGCTCTAAAATATATCACTTTATCTATAACTATGCAGTTACGTAAAGTCAGACTGATCTGAACTCCACGTTTGAGATCTGCAGTGGGTCCCAGTCTTCAGCTGAGGGAAGCTTCGACTAACAAGTGTACGTCCGGACCAACGTCTTTCAAAATAAAACTGCTTAGTGCGATGTTACGCTCGAGAGCTGCCTGGAGAGGTCGTTCGTATGTCTTATTTTGAAATCAGAGTCAGTTTTCTTTCCGCCATTTTCAACATAAACTCGTCTGGCATGACACAGCTGGGAATTTTATCGTGGGCGTGGCTACTCAATTTCGCGCCAGTTCAGACGATACCACTGCTCGTAAAATCGGGTGTGTTTGATTTAAGAGGTAAAATACTGCAGTATTGTAGAGGTAAATACGAACATCAGAATAAACATAACAACTATTTATGGATAAAAAATGAAGTTAAAGGCTTATTTACATACTACAGACAATTTATTGTACATACTTAACAATTTAAAACCACAGCCACCCCTCTGAAAGCACCTAAGTACTACACCCAATCTGATATTTCCCGCGAATCTAAGCAGCAGGAAATGGTTTATCTATATTTGTATGTAGAGGGTTAATAAATACAGAGGGATGATAAAGTCAATATAAATTCCTATCTTGTTTTTACATGTTTGTCCTTTTTTCCATGAGTTAGAAAAGAGCTGCAAACAGCAAGTTTACTGATAAATGCTTTGTTGGTATGGCCTGCATGTTAATTTTACAGGCAAACTTGGCAGGATTTCTGCAAAGAACAGTGGCAAAAAAAAAAAAATTGTAATGGCCCCTTTTAAAGCCAATGTTATGCCTGATCGAATAAACGAATCAACAGGTAAACACATGCACCTGTGGTGGTTGTTAGGATTTATAAAGTCTGCACAATCTGAAGCTTCTTTTCTCAACAGACAGTAATATTGTCTGGAGCTTTCTCTGTGCGGTCTTGTCCATCTCATGGTGGTAATGCTGTCCTTGCAACTTTCTCCATCTCTGTGGGGGATCAGCCAAGTCACTGAGATGCTGTTCTTCCTGTCTTGTCTTTTGTTAACAGTGGTGAAAGACCACCTGCTGCCACTACAGCCGCCACAACAATATACAATTCAATGTACAATTAATGTTTGTTTATTTGTGTGTAAAGTTAAATCTAATTATAGTAATCCCAGGCCCTGTCAATAAGTGAAGGTGGAGAATGTCCATGAATATTTTGAGGGTAAAAATAAATACAAACAAACAAACAGACGAAGGAATAAATAAATAAAAACACCAATTTATTGTTTAAAACTTAAACTTGCACTTGAGCAATCTGCTGGCTCCTGTTGGCTCCTTGGCACCATCTCTAATATAGAGAAGAGAGTGAATTGCCCAGTGATATAACAACTTTAAGAGTTATCAATAAGTTCTTTATTGAAAACATCCTTTTACTACAGAGCCCCCAAATCATGGGCTGTAATGACTCACCACTTCAGCTGCCTGTGGGGTGTGAATTTTAGGTCCATACCAATGGTGTACTCCACCTCTGCCGCTGTCATATTTTATGACAGGCTCCTAAAATAAAATATAGATTTAAATTTTTTGTCAAGCACATTTTGCCGCCAATTTTCATTTAGGAGAAAATCAAAGACTGACATAAAGTGTAGTTAGTCTCTCTTCAGAAAGCCTACCTATCATTGCTCCATGTCGCCTTAATTTATGGAAGGGGAACTTCCCAAGCCTCCACCTGAGGCTGAATCCAGCCCAAAGGTCACATGTGCCCACTTGGTTGAGCATTTTTCTTATTACAGTATTAAGAGTTGATCCGCTGAGTGAGCACAGGTAGTTTATCTGCAAGAAATAAAGTCAATCAATCATTCATTTCTGTATTCAGTATAAATGTATCTATACAGCAATGTAAAAATACTCCATTACAAGTAAAAACTTCTGCATGAAAAATCAAACTTAAGTAGGTTAAATACTGGCAGGAAAATGCAGTGAAAATAAAATAAAAGTACCGGTTTGGTTGCTCTGACTGATATATTATTATGACATCATTAGATGGTTCTTCTTTCTCTTCTCTTTCTTTCGTTTTTTTTTTTCTTATTTTGGCTCACTTGGTGTCAAAATTGTCTCCTGTGTGCCTTGATTCAGTGTCAGGGGTTCGGAACCAGAGGCCAGTTTAGGGAGCAGCTGTGAGGCCCTCCCAGGCCAAAACAGCAAGGGCTGTGGGCCTGGAGTCAGTGCCTACATGGCTCTGCCTCAGCCCCTACCTCTCCAGTCTGCCTTCTCCTGCCTCGGCCCCATCCTCTCCATTTATCTCCCCACAACCAAATTCACTTTTAAAACACCTTTAACTCTGGCGCTCAGCTTCTGTGTCTGCTCCTGAGTCCAGATATTGAAAACTAACATTACATACTGTATGTTACAGACACACCACAGCTGTTCAGAGTAGTTCCACTATAACCATCAGCCAGCGCAACTTTGTCAACTCACTGCACACACAACTCCTGCATGTGTCACGGTCAATATAAAACCAGTTATAAAAGCAGATTAAATGTAGAGTTCTTAAAAGCGAGATTCTTAAAAGCGAGCTAATGACACACATACCGTCCCTTCACATTGCAGTCAGCAATATAGCCCTGTAACACAACACTAATGGTCCAAATGAAAACTCTTCTTCAGCACGTTGGTCCTTACCCTTTAGAAGTTACATACAGGATTTGCAGAAAAGTCCAGCAAAACCTACTTTCCAGAGCAGGTCAAAGTTAAGCAGCATCACAGTATTTTTATTTATATTTTTTTTACCTTCTGTGTTCTTATTGTCTCTCCTGGTTTGTTGGATTTTTTACACTTGGAAGAAATATTTTGATTGATCCGACAAGATGACACTAGACTGTGTCACAGAAGTTCTGTGTCTACCTGCTGCAGGACTTAACCAATCTGATCTGCAAGACTAAAATCAATTAATAAAAGCTTTATCATGACAGTGAGTACATGACTGTCATAACAAAAATAACAACAAAACAAAAAAACAAAAAAAAGCGTATTCCTTCAAGCAATGGAAATTCTTCCATGTGTCGGGATGAAAACTATACAGGTCCCCAATATGACTGTTTGAGGTATCACAGAAACCCTCGAAATAGGTGAATTAAAATAAACCATAGACAAGGACTCATTTAGCACATGGAGATTCTGAGAATTTCACCCAATGCAAGTTTATTTGCAACATGGCATGGATACAAACAAACTCTGATCTGTCCTCCACTCCCTTCCTGAGCCTTACCAGGTTGCGATGACCCAGCCAAGGTGTTGTTGTTACTAAACTGAGAGGTTTAGCGTCATAGTATATTTCTCAAAATGTCACTCATAGTGGTGCACTTAAGGTATCTCAGTAGAAATTCTTGTTTATTATATAACTAACTGTTAACAAATTCAAACCAACTTAAAATGACTGTAGGTAGGCACATTGTTCAGCCATCACCAGAAGACCTGCCCGCCCTCTGCAAGATATGAAACCCCCATATGTCACATATGCTTATTTATCAACTGGCAACTAGTTATCTTTTTGGAACTTACACATGCAAGTGCTTTTTCTTTTTTTTCTATACAGAATATATATTATGAGTTAGTATTATGGTTGTTATCATATTCCTATCTCCGTACCAGCCAACTAAGGATATCAGACTGTGAGAGTGTCCGGATACACATTGCCTGCCAATGTCCAGCTGTTATCTAAGAACTCAGATTAACTGTCCCCCCCAGTATAGTTGGGTTTCTACTTAGTTTCCTGTTTCCCCAAAGGTTTTTCTGTCTTACACACTCTCAGGCCCTTTCCTCAGCTAGGCTGGTTGGAGTCGTCTAAAAATGTCTATGACATGATGCATTGAGAATGAGGTTATAAAGTTACAGTTGCCATTGATACACAATACAATAAACAGAAAACCTTTATATCTACAACCAATACATTTTGGTCCCCACCCCCCCACCCCCCAGAACCACTTCATGTGGAGAGGTTACTATCACTTAAGATGCAGGTTAGAAGCCGTCATCGGAAGCTACTCTAGGGTGATAAATAAGGGAAAGACAATGTACATAAAGTGTGATTACCTATGAGGAACAACCATTTAGCTAACCAAAAAATTCACACGTAACGATTGAGCAGCCCCTGTTCGCTACTGCTTGGTTCATATGCTTTTCACACAGAGAGAACCAGCTCATGTGGAGAGGTTACTAGCACTTACAATGCACGTAAAGAGCCTTTTTCAGAGGCTGGACGAGAGTGAACAATCAATTAAAGAGCATGCACATACATGAGGCATGATTACCCATGAGGAACAGGTACATATATGAGAATTTGTTATGTAAAAGTAACACCCCTATGTTAACCAAATAATTCCCACATGAGGATTGAGTAGCCCCTTGTCATATACTCTTGGTTCATGTGCTTTACACACATTAGAGAACCACCTCAAATGGAGAAGTTACTAGCACTTTTGATGCATGTGAGGAGCCATTTTCAGAGGCTGGTAGAGTGTGAAGAATCAACTAAGGAGCATGTACATACATGAGGCGTGTTTACCAATGGGAAACCTGCTTTTCCTTAACCAAATAATTCCCACATAAAGATTAAGTAGCCCCTTTTTGTGTACTATAGGTTCATTTTCTTTACAAACAGTGGAGAACCGCCTCACATGAAGAGGTTACTAGCATTTATATGCACATGAGGAGCTGTTTTCAAGTCCTGGTCTAGGGTGAATAATCAACTAAGGACCATGCACATACATGAGGTGTGATTACCAATTAGGATCCCCCCTTTAGCTAACAAAAAACTATTCACACATAAAAAATGAGCAGCCCGTTTGCTTGTTCTTGGTTCATGTGCTTTGCAAACAGTAGAGAACCACCTCACATGGAGAGGTTACTAGCACTTACGATGCACGTGACAACCTGTTTTCAGAGGCTGGTCTAGGATGACAGATCAACTAAGGAGCATGGACATACATGAGGCGTTAGAACCTATGATGAACATTTGGTTGCTTAATCAAATAATTCCCACATAAAGATTGAGCAGCCCTGTTCG